AATGCCCTGCAATCTTTTAATTACAACTTCCATGAGACATGGCTTATTCATAAAACTCCATATTAGATCTTCTTACATGCTCTTGTGTGTTCACAGCATATGTTAATTAAAATCAAGTGAGACTGGTTAGTTCTGCAGGCTAACACAGGCTATCATTGTGAGGTGGTGCTGTTGGATGTTCAGCCTCATGCTCAGACTGACTTTCAAAAGAGAAACACATGGCATGATGGGAAAGTTTTAAGTTGAAATGATTCCTGAATAGATTTATAAACCCTTTTCAGAATATAGCTCTCAACATTAATGACTTAACACATTACCAACAGATTTTAGGGAATCCAGCTCTCTAAAACTTTTAAAGTCCCCCTGTGATCAAAATCGAGCTTTTAATGTTGTTTATGTCTATGTGGTGTTTTTAATAAGCTTTAAGACCATGCGCAAATTCAACAACAAGTCAACAACATTGCTGAGTATTTTCTCCTTAAAACTACGGTGAATCAAAGACAGTCTCAAAAACACAGTTTGAAATCGCTGGTCTGTGACGTCACAAACTACATTGTAACCAATCACGTCAAAGTACCGACCGGCTTTAGCATATCATTAACAGCAAACTAGCAGGGGAGTCGTGAAAGAAGCAAGGTTATCCCAGTATATTTTTCTGTTGATATGAAAAATCGGGTAGATTTAGCAATATAGTGAGTGTATGATGGATATTACGATGTTATGATGAACTATGCCTGACTCTGAGATGGTGGACGGGAATGGTTCGTGTAACATTAGCAACACATTATTAGCTGTTTGATAACGTATTCAAGCAAAAGGCTAATATTAATTTCTGTTATGTGTCCGACGTTGTAAAGATCAATGCCATTGTGCAGCATTTACCTCAGGAAGTTGGCCGAATGAATCTCTGAGCTGGTGGCGTGAGTGGAGCTTATTTACATCTTGTGTCACAATGCATTTTATGTGTACTCATTTTGTCGTCTTTTATTATCATTATAAAGTGGATTTCATTTTTAATCTTATATTATTATGTTTTTTTATTTGTTTTCATGTTTATGCTTATTGTAATGCTTGTAAAGCACTTTAAGCTGCTTTTCTTGTGTGAAAGGTGCTATACAAATATTTAACATATTAGAGTTAATGCATTTTTTATTGCAATATTTTTTTGTTTATAATAATTTTATAATACAAAATATATATCAAACAAAGCTTTTCTCCACTTCCTTAGAGGAGAGGTCAAACTGATTTTTAACAGTCTTGGGACTTGTGATGAACAAGACAGAATACTTCAGCCCCGGTCTAGCACCGACACACACGTATCGTATGCCCCTCACCTTATGGAATGAGCTGTCATGTGTCTCGCGCTCTCTCACAGTTTCCAGGGGAACCCTGTCTCTTTAGCAACCGCTATCTTGGTAGGAGACACGTTAATACCGAGCGGATTGGAGTTCCTCTTTCAACACCTGCAGCTCTGCTTAATGTCATCGCAGCCGTCCGCTTACGCTTTGTTTCTCGCTCCCTGTCTGTCATGCTCTCTTCAAACATAAAGCGTCCTCTGTGGCGGCATCACGTTACATAAGGTGAATGATGGCAGATACTGCTGTATGCTTTGCAAATGAACTTCAGGGAATGAAGCTATGAAGAACAGACTGTCAACAGATGGGCCATCATTCCATTTGCTTTCAGCACTGAATTCTGACTGAGGAATCCAGGGGAAAACACTGTCTGTTTAATCCTGCCTGATAGTTGTTCACCGTCCTGTATATAAAAATGAAAGAGGGAAATGAGAGAAAGAGGCAGAATAGAGTGAGAGAAGGAAAGATGGCTTTAGAAGGGGTGCTGTTGTACCTGTGCTGTGTGGGCAGAGCAGAGAGAATCATGGGAGATCAGCTTTCCAAAGGGGTCAGGTTTCAACAAGCATTCTGGCCTCACAACAAACATCAGCTGTTGTTTTTCATTTCGTTCTACCATTGAAATTACATGTTGGTTGCAACTGGTCCATTTGGTCCAACTGTTGTTTTGTGACCAGGGTTCTTTAAACAGCACTATACTGTGAACATGTACAGCATAAAAGACTGAAACTGAACTCTTGAAGGGTCCATGGGTAACTGATATCTAGTCTGGGTTTGACTATAGTACCACAGGAACATAAAGAATAAAGTGACCCCCCCCCCCCTTTTTTAGCAAGCATATTTTTCATATAGGGATTTAAAATAATTTTTCAATAAAATCTTCAACTTAACTAACCACAACATTTGATTCAAAGCAAAAGTATCTGATTGATTGATTTGGTTCAGTTCTCTTTTGGCACTTCACCTCACTATAGAATTGTAGCAGCTCTCTGATTGGCCCAAATCTATTTGGATAACCTCTACTTTTCCCTGTGGGACACAAAAGCTTGACCTCTGACCTGCTTTTTTGTATGATCTGCAGTTTTTCTTTTAAATCTGAATATTTACGGCTAATTTCACCTCAGAACATAACAAATCTGCTCTTTAGAAACACAAATGTGTCAAATAGACCTCAAAACAATTAAATTTTTGTTCAATATCACAAATGTCTAGAATATACCAGATTCAAATTCAAACTATAAATAAAATATTCCCGGAAAAATCAATTTTGTTAAATGTCACATCTCAAAAAATAAATAAACTGTCCGCACACTTAAATCCTTTAAGCAAGATGCTTAAATGTCACATCTAAAATGTACATTTACAAAAGTCTAATTCATTTTCTAGTCTCATAAATAACAGCTGTTGACTTGTAGCTCACCAGTTTTTCACTTTCTTAATGAGATCTAAAAAGATTCAGTTTAGACTTAAAGTCCCCCTGTGGTGAAAATCAAGCTTTTAATGTAGTTTATATGTCTATGTGGTGTTTTTAATATGCTTTTAGACAAACCATGTGCAAATTCAACACAATTGCTGAATACCGGTATTTTCTCCTTAAAACTGCAGTGAACCAAAGGCAGTCTCAAAAACGCGGTTTGAATTGCTGGAGTTTCTGACGTCACTACCTTGTAACCAATCAGGTCAACATGTGATCGTCAACGAGTGGATCTCTGAGCCGGTGCGAGTGAGTGGAGGTGGGGTAATTTGCATATTCATAGAACCGCATACTAAATGAGGCAAGGGTGTAGAGTTACATTCAAGCTATTTAAGGCAAGGAATTTTTTTTAAATATGTCATTTTGATGATCAAAGATGAGTTAAAAGGGCAAAAATTGTTGACTACATGAGGACTTTAAGTAAGTGACATTTTTTTTAAGAGAGGACTAATTTGCACAAATGTCTTTATCTGCAATTCTCGTACTTGACATCAACGTAATGGTTCCCCTTAAAATTTGTATAAAGTTCATATTGTGCAATAGCCTGGTTAAAACCAGACCATTGTCAGTTGTAACTGAGTTATGGTCTGGCAAAGCGTCATAGACAAATCATTTCCAGAGGGGCGTCACCAACGGACGTCGCGGATAGACCTAAAACCAATCAGAGCGATGAAGGAGATGACGTATGCAGAGCGGCGGAGAAACATCTCCGAGTGTTGTTCTTTGCTCGGTTTTTAACAAAAAGGAAACGTTCAAATCGCTTAAAACAGACGCGATAGCTGATTCGAACGAGTGATGTTCGACGGCGGCATCCATCTTTGTAATGTAGGCTACAAAATCTGCTTCAAAATCCCAGCGCTGTCGTCATCGTGTAAAGCCCGCCCCAACGTTTCTGATTGGTGCCTCGATTTCGACGGATTGGAAATGGGTTTGAATGAGCTCTTTGCCAGACTAACTTTCAGAGCAAATCTAAATTTGCCGGAAGTTGTCTGGGTTTTCCCAGGCTAATTGTGCAACACTTTTGCAGTAGATTGTTGGAATCAGGCTTTGTTTAGTTGGCCCTGTCCAGTTTCTATCTTTGGACAGTGGGAATTTTGTCAATCCGTCTTTTACCTGGGAAGTTCTTTCTGTGGTTTGGAGATATCTATGGCCACTGACTTCTCTGGTTCTGTCATTTCTTTTTCTCTCTACTTTGTTGACATTTTTCTGTTTGCTAAAAGAAAGGGGGCTATTTTTATACTTGCTAACTTTGACCGCAGGATGTGCTGTTACTTTGTTCCAAAGGTTATCATCTGAGGATCTCCCCTACTGGGCCTTGGCCTTTGAGGGAAGTCTGGGAGAAGTGTTGTGCTCCTTGCTCACGTGGCATGTTTTGCACACACTGCTGTGCTATTCTTTTGTGGTTGTATTTTCACTACAGCAGATATCCCACCCTACAGAAACTCATTTCCGGAAGTTAGCGCGCTATATCTAATTGTATTATATTATTTGTATGATTCTTTTTTAAATCATACAAATTAAGTATGATACAAGTATTATTTCCTTAAAAATATGTATTTCTGTAAATGACTGTCAAAATTTTCACTTGTGTATTTCACAACCAGAGCGGTGGGGGTTTGGCAGGTTATTCTCTGAATGGAATTTTTCCACATCAGTGGATAATAAAAGAAAAACGCTTGGTTTGTTTTTGTTTGTCTTTGATTTGATTCAGTGTCTTTTATGCCAAAAACAAAACATAAAATACAGAGTCAGACTGTCATTCTTACATTGCATTTCCTAAAATAGAGGTAACATGTCATGTACAGTAACATGAGTAACATAAGAGTAATATGGTTTAACTTTTATTTACTTTCCATTGCATTTTTCAATTGGAAAAAAGTACATTTTGTAACCTGTCCAGTCAGCAGATTTGTATTTGTTCCTTCACTTGGTTTATTGTAGTTCTCCCTGACTCTGATCTCTTATGTGTTCTGCAAATGATGAGAAGTTTGCTTAGAAATACTGACATTCTGTACAAGCACATATTTTGTGCCTGCTGTGGCCAATGGCTCACAATCGACACCCCAGCCTTCCAAGTTCCTCTTGCTATTTTTATTTTGACACGTTCTAATGATGATTGATTTTGCACACACTACATGAATGTGCCTTATGCTGGTGTTTTTGTTTGTTCACAGGGAGAGAAGAATGCGGGTTTTGACGTTCTCTACCATAACATGAAGCATGGACAGATCGCCACTAAAGAATTGGCTGAGTTCGTGCGCGAGAGGTGAGGTGTTGTTTTGGGAGGAGTTGTCATGGTGATGGGAAGGAGGGGTGATATGGTGTAACTGGTACTGACAGGAATGTGGCGTGGAATTTGTTTTCTACTCCTCACTTCTTGTGTTTGTAACTCAACTGTAGCTGTTGTATTTTTGATAAGTTACATCAAAGTGGAATATTCATGTTATAATATTTTGATAATGTCCATTCACGTTATGCTGTATTATACTGTACGTTGTTACTGTCGTATTTGATTTTATTGTATCTTAGAAAGTTATGTTACACTCTTACGTTACATTACATCTTACTTTATCGTATTTAATCTGACATGACATGCTGGGGTGCATGACATGTATTATCTGATCATATTAAGGTATGTTATGTTATTCTGCGTTATGTTAAAAGAGATGTTTTGTCTTATTTGATCTTATGTGTTTTTTTTGGTCTTATTGTATATTGTTACATTACATTATGTTGTTTCATCACATTATTGTGATATTTTCTCTTATGTGATGTAACACGATGTTTTCCTTTGCTGTTACATTTTTGGTGTAATGTTTTGTCTTATCATACAATATAATGTTATATTATGTTATGCTACATTACATTATTGTAATGTTTTCTTATTTGATCTTATTGTGTCTTATATAATGTTACATTATGCTACATAACATTATGTTATTCTTATTTGAACTGATCATGTGAGGTCACATTACATGTTTGCTATGTTGTGGTGTTTTGTCTTATTATTATTTAATGTTACATTAAGTTATCCTAGTCTAATATTTTGTCTTATTAGTAATAACAGTAGTTTATGCATAATTACAAGCAACAAACCTTAAACCAAACCCTAACCCTAATTATATAGTAAGTACATGTTGTTAATAATTAATATTACTCAGTACTTAAAATGTAAAAAAAATACTGTAACAAGGGTACCTTAAAATAAAGTGGAGCCTAATATTACATTACAGTAACAACGCGGTAACGCTTCCTTTTACAGTACAGTACTTACGCGTACTTACAGTGTACTTACCTTGAAAGTACTGGCTAATATAAGGTAAGTACATGGGTTAGGGATAGGTTCAGGGTTAGTACCTAGTTATTACCCAGTAATTGTAATTACTATAATAAGTACATAGTATGTACATGGGTAACAGGACTGTAAAAGAAAGCATTACCCAACGCAACATAGCGTAGCATAATGTAATGCTATGACTGATATAATTTTTGCCCAGTTTTACAGACAAGGTTTAAGCCTAGTCCCAGACTAATATTCATGTTTGAGCTGTTTTAAATGAAAGCAACTTGCACTGACATAATCTTAAAATATGTAAGTGCCATTGTTTTGTCTCAAGATGCACACCAGTAATGTTTTTTAAGGCACATTTAAAAAAGCTTCTTAAATGTCCTCATTGAACTAAGGCCTAATCCTGGCTTAATCTAAGCCCTGTCTGTGAAACCGGACCTGTACTGTATGAAATCTTTTTTCATATGACATATTATCTTTTGCCTTTTTGCTCGAATTACTCTCTCTGTTCCATTACTTGCTTTCTCCACACCACAGTGCTGTCTTTCAGCACACAACACCGGAGTGTCAAAACACACTAACCTGAGAGGAGCAGAGCAGTCAACAAAGTGCTCAATGTCCACCCATACACGTCCACAAATGCAAGGCAGTGCAGAAGTCAGAAATGCTTTGTGTATATGCAGTGGATGAAACAGATGAAGAAAGATCTATCGTTTCACCCTTCCACTGACAGCATATGTGGGACGTGTGAGCATTTCGTTTGGTCTGTAGTAGACACTCGAGTTGGAGCTAATTGCAATAATTAAAATTAAAACTCCATAACGACTCTCTCATTCTGCAGAGAGAACAGAGACTATTTAGAGCTCCGCCAAGCCCACTGCCAACTTTCATAGTCTCTTCTATCCGTTATAATAGAGTTGGATGCAGGCACCCTCCGTCATGGACTAGAGGATTAAATTGTATTTTTTTGTGTGTGTGTTAGAAATCTGTCCAGGAAAGCCCTGGAGGAGAGTGCTGAGAAATTGAGAGAGACAAATGCGTCTCTGATAAAAGCATAGCTTGTGCAATAAATTACATAAATCAATTTTCCAAAAGGCCATTTTTTATACACTCGGGACATTGTGGCTCAAAGTGTCTCTGTTCCTTGAAGAATCTGATTTGACTGTCCCTACAGAAAGCAAAACTTTACTTATAAGAATCAAATAAGATGATGAGGCCAACAATATAGCCCGGCGCACTGGCATAATAATGACAACATCCTTTTTCCCAACAAAAAAGCTTGGCTTATTGAGAAGGCAGATCACACAGTGGTTGATGAGAAGTATTTGGTGTTTTCAGCTGTGGCCGTGGCTACTATGTCTTTTTCACTCTTGCATCAGTATTTGTCCTGATGGTCCATGGTTTTCCATACAAAAACTGACCATGTATGTAACCATACAGTAGAACAGTTATTACATTTATTAAGTATTAAAATAATTGTAAACTAACATGGGCCTCCTTCAAAAGAATTTCATATTTTTAATGTAATTGTAAAAAAAAAAAAAAATGGATTTACTTAGGTAATAACATGTTACCACAGTAGTAACTATAGCATTTGGGCAGAGACTGGTAATTTTTTTTAAGAGTTCTACCGCATTATATTTTTTTTCTCAAATAAAAAAGTGTGCGTGTACCATTGCGAATATAAACACTTGAACCCAGCACTGAAGAATTGTTTGTGAACTTTGAAGCATTAATGTATGGTGCTTAATCACTTTAGTGTGAAAGTATTTTTGGGAAACGATTACCTGCTGACACTTTGTGTGTGTTTGTGTTTGCATTTAAGGGCAGCCATTGAGGAGACTTACTCGAAATCCATGAGCAAACTCGCCAAGATTGCTAGCAATGGAAGCCCTCTCGGGTGAGTGATTTCATTGCTGTTATTATGTGTTGAAAATCACCATTACCTTCTGATTTATGTCATCTGGAGAGGAACAAAACATTGAAAAGATTTCTCTTAAAAAAAGACCTGCTGCTGGCTTACAGATACTTATCAGCAGGGAGATTCAAATGAATTGCATGCAAGTATTTTTATTTTGTGCATGAATTATGTGCATGAGTACATGTGGCTGTGTGTAATCGGACGAAAAGTCATTGCTATGGTTAGCTCTTTCCTCTGCTTCCTTCACCTCACTTCCTGTCTGCACAAGCATGTGCTAGTTGTCAAAATAATCACGCAGTGCTCTAACACTGTAAAAACTGACTTTGCAAAGATGCAAAGTTAGCAGAGTCAAATTCGTAAAGAATTACGAGCATAAATACAAAGCTAATAGAAATGTAAACTTTTTATTTGGCCATGCAGTTTTTATATACATTTGTTTTCCTATGAACTTTATGTTTGAAAAGAGGTAGACTTACAAAGACATGACAACCTGTTGTTTTTCTAATACTGCTGTGCTGTAAAAAAAAACTGAGCGGCTTATGCACTTCCATTCATCAGCATCTAACCACCTGCTTCGCATTTCCAGCACGTTTGCCCCCATGTGGGACGTGTTTCGTGTGTCCTCGGACAAAGTGGCCCTCTGCCACCTGGAGCTCTTGAGGAAGATGAATGACCTCATCCGTGACATCAGCAAGTACAGCGAGGAGCAGGTCAAAATTCACCGCAAGGTAAATAAAGGGCTTTTTAAATGGATAGAATCTTTGCACATGCCTTTGATAAATAACTGGCTTATGTACCCACAACTGTGCATCACTGTTTTGTTTTTCATTAAGTGTCCACCACAATATTTCCGATCCCCTGCAGTACTTCAGACTGATGTGAACGAGTGCATTGAGTTCTAATGTTGTGCTTAAAATCTTGATTTGAGGGTACAACGGGGTTAAACTCGCACCAGGGTAAAAGTGCCTTTGATTTTATTTTCCTCTAAACGGGCACAAAAACTTGCCGCAGCACTTTACAAAACATCTGTTTTTCAAGATGCACGTGGAAATTTGTCTGATCGCGGGCAGCAGCGCAAAGTTGTTTCTGCTGTAATTTGATCTAATATTTGTTGTTTTAACATTTTGTAGATTTAAGTAGCAAACGAGAATCGCTAAAATGATTTAAAAGGTCTTCTTAATGATTTTCAATTTTGTTCAAGCTAATTAAAGCAACAGTTTTTCAATAACGGAAGAATATGTAAAAGTATGGTATTTGGGGGTAGGGTAAAAGGCACCGAAAGGCACAATAATTAAAATGATAATAAACAGCCAGCTGACTTTTCCAATTGTTGCCATGACATGGTTAGATTCAGATGGTAAGTTGGGTGTGTCAACCATTTTTATAATGAAACCATCATATTTATAAATATGATATCAATCATATCATATAATAAAATATAATTTATTGTTACCACTGTAAATCTATATTTAATTATTATGGAATCTCCTTAAATGCTTTCAGAATATTTCCTTTTTTAAATAATTTTGTTTCTGTATTTATTAAATATATTTTTCTATTAACAAATTGTAATTACAGTATATTTATTGAACAAAAATGAATTATTTTATTTATCAAAATAAACAGAAAATAGTACATACTTTGCTAAAGTGGTTGTTTTGAACAAGTATTAACTTTTTTTGCTAATGTATTTGGATAAATAATGTGTGCCTTTTGCCCCATGCCCCACCTTACCACCTCATATGTTTATAAGATTTTTAAACAAAATAAACCATTTTTATGATTTATTTTCACACAAAATCTGTTGCTCCATCAATGTTAAATCCAATTTTCTTTTTCTTTTGCAATCATACACTATGGGAGAAGTCAAAAGCACATGGTGTGCCTTTAGCCCCATTGTACCCTATATTTAACTATGTTGTGTCTTATGTAGACGAAAGAGGAAGTGATTGGTACTCTGGAGTCAGTGCAGTCTCTTCAGGTGCAGAATGCCCACCTGCAGAAGGCCAGAGAAGGCTACCACAGCAAGTGTGTAGAGCTGGAGAGACTACGCAAAGAGGGAGTGCCTCAAAAAGAGCTGGAAAAGGTGCTTGTGTTTGAGAGAGTCCAAAAATGAACATTACTGACCTCACAAAGTACACAAAAGCACCATAAAAGTGGTCATTACGACATGTGTGCTACATTCCAGGTCATATGATAGTTTAGTGTTACAAAAAGCTCAAATTTAAGTTATTCACAGATTTGTTGGACTTGAGAACCGCGTCATTTTGATTTATGAAGCAGTTCTGTGAACCATGTCAACTGATACATTGAAAAGGTCTGATTCAAAAAACACAATTTGTTAACGAAGCTGCCATTACTACTTTTGGCAGATTAAACTTTGAATTGAAGTTTAAAAGCATGAAACAAAGCGAGCAGCTGCACAATTCTTCATGATTCGTGTGTTCCACTGAAGAACGAAAGTCTATGAGTTAAAGTTTGAAATGACTTGACTGCAGCTTTTTCATTTTTTGGTTGAAGTAATCCTTTAAGCTGGTAGCCTTCTTGCATCATCTTGAAGTGAAGGCTTAATTTCTAGCTTTGCTAATATATTTTTTTCATCTGCCTCTTTGTCTTTTCTCAGGCTGAGCTGAAATCGAAGAAGGCAGCTGAGTCGTTTACAGGGTCTATAGAGAAGTTTAACCGTGCTGGAGGAGACTTTGAACAGAAAATGAGTGAATCAGCACAGGTTGGTGATTTGACAGTTGATTTTTTTTTTTTTTTTTTTATCCCTGCTGAGCGCATTAGTCGCATATGTAAAACTTCTTTAAAGCAGATAATAAGCTAGGTTAGCTCGCAAGTTCTCATAATCAAGACCTTCGGAGCAATTTCAATGAGCTCAATAAAGCCATGTGAAGTTACCATGACTACGAGGGCCATTAAAGCAGTCTGTTTGACAAAATGATTACATGCCTACAGTCTATTTCTGCCTGGTGTTGACCTGCATGCATGAATCATTTGAGAGCGAAGGATGAATCTGTAAAATGCAAGAGACGTCCTGACCTCACTCTGAGAGCACTGGAGTGATGGTATCCCCTTAATTAGGGCATCAACAATAATCTTAAAATTATAGAGGCTGACCACTGTTAAATGCTCTGTTTAAACCCAAGCAAAAGTTCAACTGTAAGGTCCTGATCTACTGAGATCCCAAATAAAGGTTGCAAATATACTTGTGCATCCTAATAATTTGCTTTTCTTCTCCATCTGTTGAATTGTCATTATTGTCAGACAGAAAATATATTTGCATAACATACGTGTATTCAGTGGTGTAGCCCTGGTTTTGATTTCTGTTGTTCCTACTTACTAATAGGAAATCTTACTAATAATTGGACATCTAAACATTTCCACAAAAAAAATCAAATATTGAAGCAAGACCTTGAGAAGATTTATATAATTAATATATGACGGTAATGACAAAAAGTAGGCAGTGAAGGTTATAATTGTTTTATAAAATATATTTATGTTTTATAACTTAACTTTCATTAAGAAACATAATGACATAGTGTTGTTAGATTGTTTTGTTAACCGCTTTAAAGCAGTAAGGAAATTGAGGCCATGCTATAATGTGAAGATTCACAATACTACTGTTTGGGGTTAATACAACTTTTTTTTTTTTAAGAAATTGATACTTTTATTCAGCTAGGAAAAATTAAATTGATCAAACAAGAAAGATTTTTTTACATTGTTTTCAAACTTTTGTAATTCACAAATTCTGTTATTTTGTGCTTTCTATTCATCCAATCCTGATAAAAATGTTTCATGGTTTCCACAAAAATGATTAAGAACCATTTTCAATATTGATAATAATAAGAAATCTCCAAATCAGCATATCAGAATGATTTATGAAAGATCATGTGACACTGAAGACTGGCTCAGGAATACATTACATTTTAAAGTATATTTAAGTAGAAAACAGTTATTTCATTAGAGAGAAAAAAAAACGTTTTAAAAATCTGACCGACTTTACATTTGTCCTTACACATCTGCAGAAATTTCAGGACATTGAGGAAGCTCATTTACGGCAGATGAAACTACTGATCAAAGCGTATTCACACTCCATTGAAGACACACATGTACAGGTTGGGCAGGTATGGCTCGCATTTACTCCTGAGATTTTACCTACTCCTATATTCTGTTTGATTTCTGATTTTGTGCTGAAAACTGTTCAGACGAATAGGCTCTGAGGCTCAGAGTTGTTCTAGTCAGCATGGTCTCGATTAGCTGTGCTTGATGAAATCTTGTTCTATCACCTTTAGGTCCATGAGGAATTCAAGCAAAACGTGGAGAACATTGGTATTGAGAACCTCATTCAGAAGTTTACAGAGCAGAAGGGAACGGGAAAGGAGAGACCCGGTGAGTCACAGACGTATAAAACACTTTTCGGATACATCTATCATTCCAGATAAACTTTTTGGTTTCTCAGACATAGATAAAGGCTGGGCCAAAGATGAAAATGGATTTTCAGCACATAGTGCAGTATGCTCCACGACCAGGCTGAATTTATGTGTATAAACTCGCCCCAGAAGAAATTAGAAATGTCTAATAGATTATTCAGCACATTTGATTGATTTACTTTTAGATTGCATTTCTGTTTTACTGGATAATAATGCATTGAAAATCATTCTTCTGCAAATTTTAGATTTTGCCATATAGTGACTTTCAAAATGTAATGCTGTGCTCCAAACTTTAGTTAAATACTGTGTTGTATGTGTGTGGATAAGGTCCAGTAGGGTTTGAGGAGTATCTGTCGTCCCTGGTATCTGAGAACAGTAAAAAGAGTCGGGCTAAAGCCTTCAGGATCCCCGGCTTAGGAAAGAGAGACAAGGAACCCGATTCAACGTGAGTCATGCATTCAAATGAATTACAATACATTTAAATGTTATAGATCAAGGCTGTAACCACCATAGACTTTCAGAGTAACACCCACAATAATTCACAACAGTGGTTAATCAAAATTAGTTTTTCAGTGACCAATTCTTCTAGATTGTTATATACTGAATAACGAATAACTTTTCATACCTCTTTTGTCCTCTAGGGATTCAGCTGTGGCAGATGCTCTTGTGAGTTCTCATAACACACACACACACACGTTTGTTTCACAATATTTGAATGTTTATGGCCTATTTATAAGTCCTTTTAACTTATAAATAGGCCATAAAGGACCAGAAAAATGCTGTCTTAATATTTCACTATATAAGTGAGGACATTTGACCATCACAACTATAGCCAAACCTGTGTACACACACACACACACACACACACACACACACACACACACACACACACACACACACACACACACACACACACACACACACACACACACACACACACACTATTGATTTTACACTCACAGAACAGGTTCAGGTTACTAGTCATGTATTATCAGCTGTTCTTGGTTAAACTTCTGCAACTCTTCTTAGAGCATCTGAAAAGGTCTCAGCTCAAACAGTTGTTAGTTTATTAACATGCCTACACAGACCATAGATGTTGTATTAGTGAGGACCTCTCAAAGACTGATATATATATATATATATATATATATATATATATATATATATATATATATATATATATATATATATATATATATATATTATTTAAATATACTTCATTCCCAATCTTCAATTACATGTATTTCAACTACTTCATTTTGAGATGGCCATCACTGTAAGTAATAATAACTTGCAATTCAGTGAGTGAGTCAGATGTTGATTAAATATACTGTTGCAATGATGCATTCAGTGAAGGATAGGTCAGACTGATTCAAACCCATAACTCCTAACCTTCTGAGTCTTTTTGAATCATTCATTAGGAGAACTGGCTTATGAGAATAATTTGGTAGTGAATGAAATTACACTGCTTATGATGTATATGTTTTATGCACTAAAAAGAAACTGCTCACAAGAGACATTTGTTGGTGAATCTGACTTACTATACATCATTATGCTGTATGATTGATTTTGTCAGATTTAGCTAACTACTAAGTACAAATAAACCCTTCTCCACAAACACACACAGACATACTGTCCACTGTTTGAATGTAAGTTCACATGTGTGTTTGGAAATCTGAAGACTCTTTTTTCTACACAGACCTCAGTGTGTATGAGAGAGTGACGTGTCTGGCATGGTCTGGTTACCTCATTAAGCTATATTTAACCTTGTCAATACTGAGGGTGTTTAATGAATGTCTGATAGCCCACTGACTGCCAGAGATCCTACATAAACACACACTTGTTACGGGATGTTATGTAAAACTTCAGCTTTAGTCAGACTCTTAAAACATTAGTGCTTTCAGATAGATTCATCAATCTGTCAGCTGATGTCCTGTGCCTTTAAATGTTGTTTCTTATTGTGAGCTTGTGCTGTCTGTTTGTGCTTGTGTGTAGAACTCACCCCTCGAAGTGGACGACGAGGGCTTTGTCATACGTGCAGACGTCAACCAAAATGATATCCTTCAGAATAAACCATCAGGCATGGATGCAGTGAGAGTGTACAGTGTACAGTGTGTGTGTGTGTGTGCAGAAGTGTGTATGCGTGTTTACATACAGTGGAGTCCATAAGTTTGAGACCACTAGTAAAAATGCTTCAATTCAATTTAGTACATTTATACTATCAGCCGTTTGACATGAAGAAATTGACTTGAATTTTAAAAAAAATGTCTTCGTATTCAGTTTGTTCCTCTTTTGCTCTAAATTAAGAATCACTCAAGCTGCGTTAAATTTACAAGTGGTAAAACATGACAATGATTGAAAAAATTATCAAAAGAGCATCTTGTACGGCACTTGTTTACTTTTTAATGATCTATAAAAAGTGCAGAATCTTAAATATTTTTCATTAATTTTATGTCATAACATTTATAATATTTTGAATCCCTAATTTTCAATATGGCTTCAGACTTTTGGACCCTGTTGTAGATGTTTGAAGATTGGGAAGTATCCTCAGCACTACAACAAATAATTTTGGCAAAACTTCTTTTCACTCAAAAAAAATAAAGTGTCTAAAATAGAGAGAGGAGAGCGATTTATTTGCTTTTTTCTGACCTTCTCTCTTTAAACACCATCAAAAGTATCACACACAGAGAGAAAGGAGGTTATTGTCAGGATGTGAAATGGATGAATTTACCTTCTAATGCCCAATTTCTCTCTCCAAACATCCTCTAATGAGGGTCTGGTGTTACTCTTAGATTCCCGAGAAGAGAAGTTAAGTTCATTGTGAGGGGTGTTTAAGGATATGAAACTCAGTAGTGTCCCTAAATAGGATGGTCATTTGTGCAGTTTATTTATTCAGAACAGCTGTGTTTGTGTACTTGCACTCATGTCTATTTGTGTCCGTGTGTGTTTTCTTGTCCTTCTTTGTACCTGTGTGTGAGTACATGTGTATCCTGTATGGTGTCTGGATTTGCTCCTTAACAGCATTGCTCTCTACGTTGTTCTGCTGAGGAGAAGGAGGGAAATTTTTACTCCAGTGACTCGGATTTCGATGATGAAGAACCCAAAAAATTTCACATCCAGATCCGACCGGTTGCCAGCAGTAACCGTAGCAACTCAGCAGCCAATGAACTGGAGCTGAAGGCCACAGTGGGGGCGTTGACCCTGCCTCCTAACAGAGTGGTAAGAGATGGGGGCTATTTAATCTTTGATAGCTGAAATGAGACTGATGATACATTTTATAGAGAGTCATTATACTTAAACCTGTGTGTGTGTGTGTGTGTGTGTGTGTGTGTGTGTGTGTGTGTGTGTGTGTGTGTGTGTGTGTGTGTGTGTGTGTGTGTGTGTGTGTGTGTGTGTGTGTGTGTGTGTGTGTGTGTGTGTATTTACAAACTTTTTGTTAGATGCGATAAATCTATTTATCTATCTATCTGTATGTTCGTTTTTAGATTCTCAATAACTTAATCATAGGTGACAAATACGCTCACAAAACATATGATGTATTTTTTAACAAAAAAATGGCAAACTAAACCGCTTTAACCTGATTGGCTGGCTTTATGCAACTTCTGTTAGTCAGGGTGCACTAGATTTTACTAGTTTTCCGGTAAACAAAGTCATGTCTACAAAAGGATCTAAAATTAGCTCTTTGAGACAATCAGTCACTGTATTTGCCTACGGTTGTGAGTTTTAGTAGAATCAAATCTTTGAAAAATATTCAGAGTGATTTATGTCTAGTGTCGTTTTTCTATATAGATGTTTTCAGAAAACCTACACATAAACACACGTTAAAGCAAAATGATGTCATATTATTTGTTTAGGAAAATAAATGAGACAGCAAAAAAATTGTGCATCTTGATGATATTCACACTCATTTTTAAGATGTATTTGAAAAATATGGAGCAAAACATTGACTAAATAGTAGTAATGACACTTTCATTCATCCCATCCTGTAGGTGTCAGTAAAGAAGCAGCTCTCAAGTAAGTTCACTTTTATTGCTCTGTATATCTCAGACAATATTGTGTATGTATGTTAGTGTGGATTTTTCTCACGTGTCCTCTTCCTCCGTTACAGGGAACTCCAGTTCAGCAGGTCGATCTGAAGGAGAGGGGGAAAGTGTTCCCCAGAGAGGTCGGTCACACTTCTCAGACGTCAACTTCTGTGCTCTTACAGCCAGAGTTATGATCATTAATTTTTCATTGCTCATGCAATGTTTTGTGACTGTTCCTGTGATTTCAGCCAGCCATCTCAAATGGCCACAATGACACAGACATGTCCCACTTGCTGTGTCTACATTAATAGATGTCGTTATCTCACAAACAGCTCAATCTGACACCTTAATCACAGCAATCTGCAATCCAGCTGACCTTGGTGTCAGCGTCATGCATCATAACAACACTGCCATTATTGTCTTATATTGACCGACTGATCTCTGGTCAGCTGAATTGCTGTAATTACTGCCTCAGAATAAGCTCTATTTTTGTGTCGTGGGTTTTGACAATAATAGCAGGAAACAATTTGGTGTGTGGTTTAAAGAAAAAGGTTTAAGGCCGTCTTCCTCCCAGGCTGGCTATTACTCAAACTTATTTGCAGAGATTAGTCATGTAGAGGAATGGTACTATTTTGATAGCACGTGGTTTGAATAACTTTATGATTAAAATTTGTTATATTTTTTCTCAGTAAATTGTACTGTACTGTTATGTGCTGTACATTACGTTTTATGGGTGTGGTGTGGTGTAATGGTTAAAGATCTAGGCTGGTTACTAAAACGTTGAACCTTAAAGGGATGATCCATAAACAATCACAATTTAACCTTGAGAAAAGCACTTAACCTAATATTTTTCCAGGGAGACTCCCTATAATATGTGTACTGTAAGTCACTTTGGATAAAAGCATCTTCTACATGACCCCTTACTTAACTTTTTTATTTTATTATTATACTGTTATATTGTGCAGTAAAGTAATGTTTTGTTGTTGTACAGAGGGAGAACAGGAGGGTCTGCGTAGATCCACGTCCAGCCCAGATCACAGCAGGTACAGAGAGATTTCCCATACAGCATAATTACTGAATGCTTTAATATGCAAAAAATGCAGATTTAATGGTGAAAGATGTCATTTTTGTGGCATTTAATGTTGAATGGTAGTGTGCCCCAAACTCATACCATTGGTTGAGCAAGAAGAGGACAACCTGAACGAAAAGCCAGTTTATTAAATAAATAAAAAGAAATGTTAAATTGAATTGATTAAATTGATTTATTTAGATTATATAAATATAGATATATTGTAAAGATTTTTTATATTATTTTGATTATATACACCGTTACAAATGTTGGGGTTGGTACATTTGTGAAAGAAGATTCATATGCTCACCAAGACTGCATTTTATTTGGCAGTAAATTTATTTGTACAGTAAAAACAGTAATATTGGCAAATTTCTATTTGTTTTTCAATTGGAATATATTTTAATTAATGTAATTTATTTCTGTGATGCCAAAGTTGAAATTTCGGCAACATTACTCCATACATTATTAAAAAACTTTTGTTCTGCTTAATGTATTTGTGGAAACAGTGATAACTTTTTTTCAGGATTCTTAGATTAATAAAAAGTTCAAAGAAACAGCATTTATTTGAGATGGAAATCTTTTGTAACATCAAGTCTATACTGTCACATTTGAACAATTGAATGCATTCTTTCTCAATAAAAATACTAATTTCCCAAACTTTTTATATTGATATTATTTCATTCATTCATTTAAAGATTCTTTTTTCCCCTCTCATCTCTTCAGGTTGAGTTCCACAGCATCTGGTCCGGACGCTCTGTTTGGACCTCCTCTGGAGTCGGCCTTTAAATCCCACAGCTTTACTGGCAGAGAGCAGCTCCAGAACGCCTTTGCTGCATCTAAATGTAAATCTCCAGCAGCACACACACCACCCCCGGCCTCATTACTTGTGATAGATGAGAATCGACTGGACGATCTATTCTCTTACAGCGTTTTAAACTAACGGAGAATTAAAAGCTTAAAACTAGCCTAATGTGTGCCAAAGTATGCGTTACCATATTCTAAGAATTAATTGACTCGCTTTAGCAGAACTGCTCATGTAGGCATTAAAGCATCAATTATTCAATTATGGACAAAAGTGGAATGGGAATTATGTTTCTGCAGTCAATCTTCTCCTTATCCTATCTGTTAAGAAATTTCCTTTCTGATCAGTAATAGACTTTTCTCCATGTTTGACAGATGCCGCATTCTCTTCGGATTCATCCTCTCCTGAGAATGTGGAGGATTCTGGACTGGATTCGCCTTCCCATCAGCCCCTTGGAGTATCCCCTGAACCCAATGGTTGGGCAGCCTGGCCATCTACTCAAACTCAATCTAAAGACTCCGTAAACCTGAGCCGATCCTCTGACCCCTTCCTGGCCGCATTCCGTGACCCCTCGCCCGGTCGGTCTCCTCTCCCGCAGGACGACCCCACCAATGCCTGGCCTTCCAATCTACGTTCTCCACGTGCCCCACCCAACGTCGAGCCCACCACCTTCAGCTTCCCGGCCTTCTCCCACAGCCTGGCGTCTTCAGAACTGGAGCCCTGTGTGTGGAGCTGTAAACACATCCCTCCTGAAGACCCCTTCCTGGCTGCGTTTGAACGCTCCGCCCCCAAGGACAACCTGCCTCCACCTGATGCCTGGGTCCCGCCTCCCCCTCGGCCCACCAGGGATAGCAGGGCTGTGGAAACCCGCACCGATCCCTTTTCCGTCTCTCTGAATGACACTAAAACCCTCCCTCCCCTATCCTCCTCCAGCAAAGAGCGAGACAGGAAAAGAGATCGTAGCGTCCCGCCTCCAGAGTCTCCGGATGATCCTTTCGCTATTACTATGATAGGGAGTCCAACGCACCAATCGGCGCTGGCGGCGCAGGTAGCTGCACAAAGCAGAGCTGGTAGTAATAGGCCGACACCCAGTCCTAACTCAGCCCCCAATTCTCAGCCGAAGAAAGAGCTGGTGCATTGGAACTCGGTGCATAACCCCTTCAGTGAGGCCACTACGAATAACACTGTCACGCAAGAGTCGACCAGAAAACAGAGATCATTTAACGACGAGCCTCGCAGGAACGGACCGCCGCTCACACGGCATTCTGGGCCGCAGGAGGACCTTTGCTTCTCTACAGACAAGGACCAGAACTTCCTGGATATTAACACACAACCAGGTATTACAGATTAGTGAATGTCTGATAAGGTGTTTTAATGGCTGATTCTGATACTGATATTTAGAGAGCAAAGTGGATGATATAATGGCAATATGCAATGGCCCCAAAAAGTGTATAAACAATTAACCCTCATTTAAAAAGTGGCATTTATTTTAAAGAAATGCAGCACAAGCACACTTTTCAGGTAAAACATTCACACTTTTCAAGCAAAACATTTCTCAAAAATAAGTTTTTTAGGTTTAAAATTATAAAACATATGTATTGCTCAAAATAGAGACAAAAACCCTTTCTGGTTGTCAGACATTGGGGAAACACATTCATAGTTAATATGATGAACTACACCTGTGGTTACTCTGCGAGAACACATAGATAATTGCAAAATATCTAAGCAATGTGAAGTTAGTTCTGCAGCATTTGATTGCAGATGCCACTTAATTTCATATTTTATAACAAAATATTTTATATCTAATGCTATAATATTCAGTCACTTACAGTAAGTGTCTCAAAGGTGTCTTTTTTTTGGATCTGTTGTATAATACAATTTAATAATAACAAAAAGTTTAATTTACGCTTATGTCAAAAGTTTGGGGTTGGCTAAGATTTTTTAAGTTTCTTATGCACACAAAGGCTGCATTTATTTAAACAAAAATACAGAAACACAGAAATGTTGTGAAATAATGTTGTTTATTCCAGAGATGGCAAAGCTGAATTTTCAGCATCATTACTCCAGTCTTCAGTGTCACATGATCCTTCAGAAATCATTCTATGCTGATTTGGTGCTCAAGACACATGAAGAATTTGAGAATCCGATTAATGAAAGAATCATTCAGGAGTGCGTTTCCCGAAAGCATTGTTATCCAACTATGATCGCAATTTCCATTGAACTCTATTGGTAACGACGGAACTTGCGACCATAGTTGGCTAACGATGCTTTCGGGAAACGCACCCCTGAGCGGTTAAATAATTTGTTTCAGTCTCAGAAAAACACTCATTCATGAATCAAACATTCCTACAATACATCTCATGAACTAGGCATATGACAAGATTTTCAGTGAATTTTCTGTATGTTCCGGGAACAAAGCTTTCGTATGGTTTTAAGAAGACTTGGAATATAGCACACAAGTCGTATGGACCACTTTTGAGATTGAAATATGTGGCAGGGTGTTATTCAAAATTCCAAAACCAAAGTTCCATGGAATAAAGTCATGTGGGATCAGAATGACATGAGGGTGAGTAAATAATGACAGGATTTCTATTCCCCCCCCTCTTTTCTCTCACTCTCTCGTTCAGTCTCCCAGCATGGTTTCAGGCAGGACAGCACTGAACGTCTGGCATTGGCTCCCCCTCGGTCGGTTCGGTCCAAGCGCTCCTCAGGCAGACTCAGTGGCTGTGAGCGGGTAAATGTTCCACAGACCTCATTACACCATCTATCCAACCAGCACACTTAAGCTTTTTTTAAACCATATAACAAAACCCTTAATAGGGCTCTGCTGCAGCCTCTTTCGTTTTTCTCTTGTTTTATGAGATGTGGTTTCTCTCATGTGGTTCTTCAAATTGCTCCCTTGACTTTAGCTCTTAATTAACACCACTACTGAGATTCCACTTCAAGCTTTTAATTGCTTTATACTGGGAGGTAACAAATAATATTACAGGACATAGAAACAAGCCTCTGGTAATTTGTTCAGCCCCAAAACACTTGTTTTCAATCCACACACAGTAGAAAGGAGAAAATAAATGGGGAGTTGACAGATAACATGGACATAAACTTTTTTCAACATCGATATTTTTGTTTAAAATTTATGTGTAATGGAAACTGTATATCTTTAGTCTGGTCTTTGTCTTTTTTTCACTATTTTGAATAATTTGTATGCTTATTTATTTAGCTTTTTTTAAATCTGTTCACTTAAGTCCTGTGGTGTGAAAAATGGATTAAAAAAAAAAAATATATATATATATATATATATACACGAGAATGAACCTCATTGGTTCTTGCACGTCAAGCGAACATGCTTGAGCTTCCGTTTACCATATCTGATGTGTGAGTTGATGAATGTTTATATGTGAATAAAAGCCCAAGTTTAATCTGTTCATCATATAAAGCGATCGTGTCTCTTCAGAAAATTTTAACTAAACCACAAAATTCATTTGGATTAGTTTTACAATCTCTTCATGAACTTTTGGAAGCGTCAAAGTGTCAGTTGCGTAGCGGTCAGTGGAGAGACAGAAATTTCTCAGATTTCAATAAAATATCTGTATTTGTGTTCTGAAGATGAACAGAAGTCTTTGGAACAACATGAAGGTTTGTAAATGATGACAGAATTACAATTTTTGGGTGAACTAACCCTTTAATATGAGTTCATAAAAGTGGCATGTATAATTATAAAAAAATATATAACAAAATAAAAATGATAAAATATTTTAAATGTTTAAATTATTTAAAAAGTATATATTGTATAAATAATAATAATAATTATAAAATAAGATTTGTTTTCTGTGGTGTGTCTCAGTCTAGGTCTTTGTGCTCGTCTCCGCTGCCTGAGCCCAGTCCTCCCCTCACCTCCTCATCCTCCTCCAGCCCCAGTGAATGGGGGATGCAGAACCGCGTCCCCAGCCCAGCCCGAGGTGACCCGAGGCACACTCCTATTTCCCTAAACACTCGCATTATCACAAAACTTAATTATATATTACTCTGAGAGACAACCTCAAGAGCTTTACTGTAATTTAATTATGCTAATCTAATGTAGACACATGCACATTAACCCTGGGGACAGTCAGGAAATGTCCTCATGGCTGATTTTGTCCCTATCACTTTAAAATAGCCCACAGGCATGTGTCTAATGCAGAGGAAGCATATCCCAAATCCTATTTCGTATTCAACTGCTGATCCATTTTTTTATCCATCCTCCAACAAAATCCAGGGGCCGACTGTGGCAGATGAAGTTATCAAGTTATGTAATGTGACCCTACAGGTTTGTCGCGAGGACCCAGTCCCATTTCTCTGAGTACCCAGGAGTCTTGGCCTGTAGCCACAGCCATCACGGAGTACATCAACGCCTACTTCAAAGGAGGAGAACACAACCGGTCCGTCTGAGGTTCTTTCCCCCCATCTGGAGGACAAAGTCTTTTATCACATTGTTGCTCCAACTGAAAGTGATTTGCTGTCCAACCGTTTGTGTGTGTTTGGGTTTCAGCTGTCTGGTTAAGATCACCGGCGACCTCACTATGTCGTTTCCTGCCGGCATCATCCGCATTTTCACTGCCAACCCCAACGCACCAGTTTTAAGCTTCCGATTGGTGAACATCTCTCGAGTGGATCACTTATTACCCAACCAGAAGTTACTCTATAGGTATGATACCCTGACACACACACACAACTGGCTTGTTCTGGGTTTAATACAAGCTCTGTGGACAGCATTTGTGGTGTTTGTACCTGCAGCGACCCGTCACAGAGTGACCCGGACACCAAGGATTTCTGGTTCAACATGCCGGCCTTAACGCTCCACCTGCAGAGAGAGGCGGAGCTTAACCCACAAGCCTCCTATTACAATGTGGCTCTGCTAAAATACCAGGTCAGTCATCTCAAACCTAATGAGTGCTTGAGTTGCAATGTGATCTACTTAAATGAAACCTAAAGGAATATTCCACATTCAGTTCAAGTTAAGCTCAATCATCAACATTTGTGTCGTAATTCATCAATGTTTTTAACAGCTTTACAGCTCAAGTTTTAACTGAAGAATTCATGTACACTACTGTTCAAAAGTTTGAAGAAATTAATACTTTTATTCAGCAAAGATGCATTAAATTCATCAAAAGACTTTTACATTATTACAAAAAACTCAAATAAATGCTGTTCTTTTGAACTTTCTATTCATCAAAGAATCCTGAAAAAACTTTATCACAGTTTCCTCAAAAATATTAAGCATCAACAGTTTTCAAAATTTATAATAAAAAAATGTTTATTGAGCATTAGCATATTAGAATCCTTTTTGTAGGATTATGTGACTCTGAAGACTGGAGTGATGGTGCTGAAAATTCAGCTTTGCCATCACAGGAATAAATTACATTTAAAAATATATTAAAATAGAAAATAGTTGTTAAATTGTTATTATGTCTTAACTATTATTAAGACATAACAAACATAAATTGTTATGTCTTAAATTGTATTAATACTAGTGCAATGCCCGTGCAAAATCAGTTTTTGTGTGTTTTTAGTAAATGTTGGTTTGGTATGTTTGAGTTGCTGAATAGCCTAGGCTACTATTACACAGGAGCCTAAACTCTGAGAAAACGATAATGTTAAGCGCACCAGAATAAAATATAATATTCAGAATTAAACAGTGTTGCTGACTTACAGATTCAGTTAAATCGCTTCTTTTTCAAAAATGAATCGCTACATTTTCAAAAGTGAATCGCTACTTTTTCAAAAGTGAATCGCTACTTTTTCAAAAATGAATCGCTACATTTTCAAAAGTGAATCGCTACTTTTTCAAAAATGAATCGCTACATTTTCAAAAGTGAATCGCTACTTTTTCAAAAATGAATCGCTACTTTTTCAAAAGTGAATCGCTACTTTTTCAAAAAAGAATCGCTACTTTTTCAAAAATGAATCGATACTTTTTCAAAAGTGAATCGATACTTTTTCAAAAAGAATAGATACTTTTTCAAAAAAGAATCTATACTTTTGCAAGTGAATCGCTACTTTATAAAAAAGAATCGCTACTTTTTTCAAAAAGAATAATGTAACAAAATAATAATGTAACAAATGTATAATAACCCTGTAATAATGTATAATTACATTTTTTACACTACTTTTTTCAAAATCGCTACTTTTTTCCAAAAGAATCGCTACCTTATTTAAAAAAATAGCTACTTTTTCAAAAATAGCTACTTTTTTCAAAAAGAATCGCTACTTTTTCAAAAATGAGAATCGCTACTTTTTCGAAAGTGAATTGATACTTTTTCAAAAAAAGAATCTCTACTTTTGCAAGTGAATCGCTACTTTTATAAAAAAGAATCGCTACTTTTTTCAAAAAGAATAATGTAACAAAATAATAATGTAACAAATGTATAATAACCCTGTAATAAACGTATACCGTATTTTCTGCACTATAAGGCGCACTTAAAAGCCTTTAATTTTCTCAAAAAACGACAGTGCGCCTTATAATCCGGAGCGCCTTATATATGGGTGGTGCACACACGTTCACCAAGCCGGGGAGACAGCGCCGGGCGACTAACGCCACTATCTGCCAATGGATCGTGGATGCCTGGGCTGATATATCCATATATCAGTCTCTACTGTGATCTGAGCTTTCACGAAGGCAGCAATAATCTCTTTATTCAGCCAGCACACATACCCGTATTTACTTCCTGTTTTCGGCCGAAGTCCACAGTAGTTGATTGTCGACTTCGCGCGCGCGATCAAACCTCCTCCGTGTGTTCAACATCTGATTCGGATTAATCATCCATTTGAGCTGATATTCTCAGCACACCACACAGCACCGTCATCGGCTGACAGTCTGAGTCTCCACTGTTGCTTAGTTACCAATGATCGCGCGCACGCACTCGACAATCGCCTACTGTGGACTTCGACCGAAAACAGGAAGAAAATACGGGTATGTGAGCTGGCTGAATAAACATAATTTTTATTCATATCTTTCACATTTACTGCAGTCAGATTCACCGTGTTCACTCACATGGGTGTGCACTTGTAATGACACATTAAGGTTGTTAAGAGGCTAAAAGCAGGTTTAAAACTTTTCCCGTTTAAGTCAACAGGGTGCACATTTAAAAAAGAGGATAACACGGTGTAGGCAACACCGGTTTTTGTCGTTGTTATCTGTACTGACAGCACTCCAAATTTACAAAAAATGAGCTCAATGTTAAAATTGACCGGAGTTTTCCTTTAACGTTTGAACAACGTTACCATGGGAGTGAACGGAGTTGTCAGAACGCTTAATGAAGTTTGACTTTATCTGACTGTTTTGTTGACATTTGTTGACATCTAGTGGATGCATAACGCAAACCCAGTCAAACGTTAGACTGCAGTATTTTATGCGCCTTATAATCCGGTGCGCCCTATATATGAAAAATGTTCTAAAATAGGTCATTCATTGAAGGTGCGCCTTATAATCCGGTGCACCGTATAGTGCGGAAAATACGGTAATTATATTGCAATAAATGTATAATAACACTGTAATAAATGTATAATTACATTGTAATAAATGTATAATAAGACTGTATGAAAAAGTAGCGATACTTTTTTCAAAAAGAATCGCTACTTTTTTCAAAATGTTTTGCTACATTTTCAAAAAGAATCGCTACTTTTTTCAAAATGTTTTGCTACATTTTCAAAAAGAATCGCTACTTTTTCAAAAAGAATTGCTACTTTTACAAAAAGGAATCGCTACTTTTACAAAAATGAATCGCTACTTTTTCAAAAAGAATCGCTACTTTTTCAAAATTAATCGCTAATTTTTTCAAAAACAATCGCTACTTTTTCAAAAATTAATCGCTTTTTTTTTCCAAAAAGAATCGCTACTTTTTCAAAAATTAATCGCTAATTTTTTCAAAAAGAATCGCTACTTTTTCAAAAATTAATCGCTACTTTTTCCAAAAAGAATCGCTACTTTTTTCAAAATGTTTGCTACTTTTTCAAAAAGAATCGCTACTTTTAAAAAATGAATCGCTACTTTTTTTCAAAAAGAATCGCTACTTTTTCAAAAAGAATTGCTACTTTTACAAAAACTAGTGCAATGCCCGTGCAAAATCTGTTTTTAGTAATTGTTGGTTTGGTATGTTTGAGTTGCTGAATAGCCTAGGCTACTACTACACAGGAGCCTAAACTCTGAGAAAACGATAGTGCACCAGAATAAAATATAGTATTCAGAATTAAACAGTGTAGCTGACTTACAGATTCAGTTAACATCCACAAAATGAATAAGCACGGCGATTCAGGGTAGGTTTAGTCCTTGGCTGGAGCAGCTACACAGTTAACTCTGAGAAAACGCTATACGCTTGAGCAAACAGTTTGTGAATAGGCTACTACAAATGATGGCCATGAATAAAATATAATATTCAGATATTTTTAAACCACAACCCTCTAATGTCAGAATGTTTATTTTGGGGAGTGGCCACACAGTGTGCAGTGTGAGAGGGGGAGTGGCCACTCAGTGTGCAGTGTGAGAGGGGGAGTGGCCACTCAGTGTGCAGTGTGAGAGGGGGAGTGGCCACTCAGTGTGCAGTGTAAGAGGGGGAGTGGCCACTCAGTGTGCAGTGTGAGAGGGGGAGTGGCCACTCAGTGTGCAGTGTGAGAGGGGGAGTGGCCACTCAGTGTGCAGTGTGAGAGGGGGGTGGCCACTCAGTGTGCAGTGTGAGAGGGGGAGTGGCCACTCAGTGTGCAGTGTGAGAGGGGGAGTGGCCACTCAGTGTGCGGTGTGAGAGGGGGAGTGGCCACTCAGTATGCAGTGTAAGAGGGGGAGTGGCCACTCAGTGTGCAGTGTGAGAGGGGGGTGGCCACTCAGTGTGCAGTGTGAGAGGGGGAGTGGCCACTCAGTGTTCAGTGTGGAGGGGGAGTGGCCACTCAGTGTGCAGTGTGGGAGGGGGAGTGGCCACTCAGTGTGCAGTGTGAGAGGGGGAGTGGCCTCAGTGTGAGAGGGGGAGTGGCCACTCAGTGTGCAGTGTGAGAGGGGGAGTGGCCACTCAGTGTGCAGTGTGAGAGGGGGAGTGGCCACTCAGTGTGCAGTGTGAGAGGGGGAGTGGCCTCAGTGTGAGAGGGGGAGTGGCCACTCAGTGTGCAGTGTGAGAGGGGGAGTGGCCACTCAGTGTGCAGTGTGAAAGGGGGAGTGGCCACTCAGTGTGCAGTGTGAGAGGGGGGTGGCCACTCAGTGTGCAGTGTGAGAGGGGGTGTGGCCACTCAGTGTGCAGTGTGAGAGGGGGAGTGGCCACTCAGTGTGCAGTGTGAGAGGGGGAGTGGGCACTCAGTGTGAGAGGGGGAGTGGCCACTCAGTGTGCAGTGTGAGAGGGGGAGTGGCCACTCAGTGTGCAGTGTGAGAGGGGGAGTGGCCTCAGTGTGAGAGGGGGAGTGGCCACTCAGTGTGCAGTGTGAGAGGGGGAGTGGCTAGTGATGGCAAGATGAGGCTTCCTGAACCACTGAGACCTCGCAGCCCATTGCTTCAACCAAAGGTTCATTACTCGAAGCTTCATTCAGCATTGCTCACTAGTGACACCTAGCTATTGTGCAAAGAAATTGCAGGCAAATTAATTCATTCTGAACCAATGACCCGCCCCCCTCCCGCAATGTTTTATTTATTTATCTTCTTCTAAATATGAATGTCTCTGTAACCTTTCATTTGCAATAATAAAGAGATCTGTGCAGACATTTGTCCATTGCCTGCATGAAATAAAACGTGTATATTTCTCTGTCTGCATTTACTTGTACAGAGACAACTGTCACACACACAGTTAATTAATTATTCCAAAAAATATTGGATAGGGACAGTATGAACAACAATAGTGACTGTGTTGAGTGCAGTGCTTATGGTGGAGGGACTCGAGGAAGTGTAATAAAGTAAACTGCAGTAAACACCACAGTTCGGGTGGATGAATTGCAATAGATATTTATTGAGAAAATGAATTTTTTGAAGTGTGTTGGGGTTTAGACAATTCCTCTTCTTGGACAAAACCTCACCACCCTTGGAAAAATATCCTTTCACAAGGAACAGAGGATGCAGGGGAACATACAATGTCAGTGCCAGCGGGTATAAATAAAGATATTGATGCTTCTGTTGAGCCCAGACAGGGGAGGATTTCCTCTTTCTTGCTGGCTCCATTACCATGAAAAAGGAAGATGTCATAAAAAGCAAACAAATCCAAAAGGGCAATCCAAATTAAAAAGCAGTCCAGTCCAGATCCAAAAATCTAAGCTACCAAAAATCCAAAGCAATCCAAATAATCTTATCTAATTAATATAACGAGACTATAATATAGCTACTATAATTAATAATAACAATTATTCATTATTATTAATAACTATTCTAACCTGATAAAATGCAATAATATACAGCCCTAACACATATATGACACAATAACGACAATGAGATTTCTCTAACTCTGACTCTCTGACACACTACAACTGCTTCTGCTACTGCTACTCCTGCAACAGCCACAAGGTGGCGCGAGTTTCGAACCCCCTTTCTCCCTTTATCCAGAAGCGACACTCAGACCGAACCGATGACGTATCCACACAAACCGAGGCCTCGTTTGTCATCAGTCACGTGATTTTCACGTTAACAACACAAGCCTCGAATCGCGGCTTCATCTGGCACGCCCATTTTTTCTCGACACAAGCTCCGATGCCTCGGTTCAAATGTCACATCACTAGGAGTGGCCACTCAGTGTGCAGTGTGAGAGGGGGAGTGGCCTCAGTGTGCAGTGTCGAGGGGGAGTGGCCACTCAGTGTGCAGTGTGAGAGGGGGAGTGGCCACTCAGTGTGCAGTGTGAGAGGGGGAGTGGCCTCAGTGTGCAGTGTGAGAGGGGGAGTGGCCACTCAGTGTGCCGTGTGGAGGGGGAGTGGCCTCAGTGCGCAGTGTGGAGGGGGAGTGGCCACTCAGTGTGAGAGGGGGAGTGGCCACTCAGTGTGCAGTGTGAGAGGGGGAGTGGCCTCAGTGTGAGAGGGGGAGTGGCCACTCAGTGTGCAGTGTGAGAGGGGGAGTGGCCACTCAGTGTGCAGTGTGAGAGGGGGAGTGGCCACTCAGTGTGCAGTGTGAGAGGGGGAGTGGCCTCAGTGTGCAGTGTCGAGGGGGAGTGGCCACTCAGTGTGCAGTGTGAGAGGGGGAGTGGCCACTCAGTGTGCCGTGTGGAGGGGGAGTGGCCTCAGTGTGCAGTGTGAGAGGGGGCGTGGCCTCAGTGTGCAGTGTGGAGGGGGAGTGGCCACTCAGTGTGCAGTGTGAGAGGGGGAGTGGCCACTCAGTGTGCAGTATGAGCCAGAGTGGCAAAAGCCAATGTGTGCTTCTTTTACCGATATATTTAACAATATCGTTTGCATTTCTAATCCAAACGACCTCAAACTTGGCACTGCACTTACTCGTGCCCATAGCAAGACACCTGTCAAGTTTGAAATCCATCCATTCAGATATTTTTAAACCACAACCTTCTAAACATAATCTAAACATCTTCAAGGTGTGCTTCTTTTACCGAGATATGCGAATAACAGACACACAGACGTTTCTGTAATTTATAGATAGGTGTGTGTCTGTGTATAAGCTATATTATATTTATATATAGGCCTACTGTATATTATACGTGTTTGTGTGTACTACTGTATATTCTTTAATCGCGATTAATCGATTTGACAGTATGTTTGTGCAAAATCAGTTTTTGTGTGTGGTTTGGTGTGTTTGAGTGCTCATTGTTACAATTACACAGCTAAAGTTCAGTGACATTTTTATTTGTGCATGGTTGAAAAGCAAATATTGATACTGACATAATGACGTGCAATAAGTATATAAATTGAACTACATGTATAACTAACTACTGACAACTAACTACTTCTGAATAACTACAATATTTAGAAGTAAACAGTGTATCTGACTTAATGTTTAGCTGACAGAATGTTTATTTTTAAACCACAATTTTTAAACCACAACCCTCTCTAATGTCAGAATGTTTATTTTTAAACCACAACTTCAATGTGTGCTTCTTTTACCGATATATTTAACAATATCTTTTGCATTTCTAATCCAAACAACGTCACACTCGGCACTGCACTTACTCGTGACCGTAGCAAGACACCCGTCAAGTTTGAAATCCATTGGACTAACGGTTTGAGAGATATTCGATTAACAGACAGACAGACACACACACAGACAGACAGACGTTCCTGTAATTTATAGATAGATAATATAATATATAATAATATAAAATAGTTTTTATTGTATTTTTAATCAAATAAATACAGTCTGGATGAGGATAAGAGATTTCTTTAAAAAACAATAAATCATTTTACCAATCCCAAAGTGTAAAACTGTTATAGTGTAAGTGCGTTTCTAAAATTATAAGCTTCACATTTCCGCTTTTAAATTCCTCCCAAAATTGGCCCTATTAACTTTCATTCATTTTAACTTCCATAAATGAATCTTGATTTGAACCTTTTTTGTGTTAATCAACATTATTACATCAACAAACTCTGTCGACTTTGGTTAACTTGCATTGAACCCGTAATATTCCTTTAAAGGTTAACATCTTTGAAAATGTTTATAATCCGTCATAAAACTATATTTGAAATGTTAACGCGAGTGTTTTTTTGAATGAACTCTCTCTTAGGCGTCATCTCAGGATCCGGGTCGTGCTCCCCTCCTGTTGTCCGCCGAGTGTCAGCGCAGTGGCACAGTGACCCGTGTGTCTCTGGATTACCACTGCTGCCCCGCAACCGCCCCCTCCACCCAGCTGACCACTGTACAAGTGCTGCTGCCCCTCGACCACACGGCCACAGACCTGCAGTGCCAGCCGCCCGCATCCTGGTGAGAACTGGAGGCACATTTTGCTTTTAGAGATGGAAAGAAAAGAGAAAATGAAGTGAATATGTGATGAGAGAAATGATAGATGAAGAGAACTGTGTTACTGACTTGTTCTGTTTCACAGGAGTGCAGAGGAAAGACGACTCCTATGGAAATTGCCCAACCTCTCCCCGACAAATCACAGCAAAGGTCACTGCTGCCACCTGTTCATCCTGTCTTTTCTTTTTCTGTCACTCATTCATGATTCATGTTTAACTCTTTCTCCGCCAGCATTTAAACAAAAAAAAAAAAGTTCCCAGCCAGTGCCAGCATTTGTGATCATTACGTGTTTGTGACGAACAGACCTAAATTTAAGTCCTCACTCACTCCCAAGTTAATCAATTAATGCAACATCTATAACAACAATATCAGTCATAAAAAGGAAGAACTAAAGAATATCTAACGAATATTGATTTCCTTGAAGAAAAAAACTGCACTATATATAGTTTAGCGTTGGTACATCTTAACTGAGTTTAAAGTGCTGCACTGACACAAGATGTTTTCAGTGGAAGTGGGCGGAAGAGCAAGAGGCCATGAAACAAACTTCTGAATAGATAAGATCAGAGGGAGACCGACAGAGCATCAAGGGAGGCTTGTGAACATTTTGGAAGCAACTGCATGTTTATTCAAATATGGGCTACATTAGGATATTTTAAGATGATCTTTTATTTCTAAAGGCTCTTGCACATATCTTAACCAGGTCTGCGATGTAAACCCAAGAGCAGCTGCTGACTCTCTCTCTCTCTCTCTGTGTGTGTGTGTGTTTATGGGTCTCAGGGTCTGGCACATTGTGCGCCAGTTGGCAGTGCCTGGAGGTTCCCCGCGGGCCTCCCCCGAGCCTGGCTGTGCAGTTTGTGGGATCGGGGGCTTCTCTGTCAGGCATGAACGTGGAGCTGGTGGGCAGCCGGTACCGCATGTCCCTGGTGAAGAAGAGGTTTGCCACAGGTGGGAGCCAGACCTACTTTATGTCCCTCATAAGCAGTCTCCTTTCAGTTCATAATTGTTTATTTAATAGGATATCTTGTTGTGGTCTCTAGGGGGATGCTTTTTTGTCCAATTCAAAACAGCCCTCTATAAGAAGTCTCTGTGATATTCTAGTAGTTCATAGATATTGCTCAGGTCCCTCCTGGACTCTTAAGTTTAGATTTTTTGACCAGTTGCTTGGCACCATAGCACACCTCTCCTCCACAAGCTGAGCATTTCCATAATAGGTATTTATGGTGAAACCTACATGCATATACCCCAGCAACACCATGGTTTTGGGTTCAATTCCCAGGGAAAGTATGAACTTAAAAATGCAGTGTCGCTTTAAAGAAAGGCGCATGACTGAATATTTTAACCATTTAAATGCAGTATAAATGTATCATTCAGAAGATCATTACCGGTTTCTAAGTGGCCCATTTTTAAAACACGACCATATATCTTGATGTTCACCTAATTATAACCATCACCACTTTTTGCAAAACTTGAACAGTCCCTTGTGCTTTTTAATATAAAGTATAATATTCAAGGTATAATCTCTGAAAACAATTGTGCTTCTTAAGTGAGTTTAATTGATGTTTGGTTAATAGTTTTTGCAGTGTTTTCTTGAAACAGCAAATCAAGACTGGTATAATGATAACAGCATGATGCATTCATGGTCAAATGTAGTAATAATGTTCATCTGTATCGTTTTACAGGAAAATATATGGCCGGCTGTTCTTTGTGAGAGGTGATGGTGCTGCTCCGGTACCACCGAGGCACAACGTTTGCACTTTTTAAACCTACCTGGGCTGGTGGAACTGTCCATGTGCTAAAGGCCTGAACAGAAGAGATCACATTGTATATAGAGTGTGATGTGTGGGGAAATAGATAATACCCATGATGCATTGCTCTAGAATAAGTATGCACTGGGATTAGGGACCACAACCAGCCTCTACTCTTTTATCTGTATAGAATTGTTTGTTCAGTGTGCAAACCACACATTTATTTCAAGTTTGAAGAACTGGATGTACATTTCCTTTCATTTTTAGTGCAAATTTCTGAATGAGTAAGTATGAATATGTATAATGGAAATAAAAATTCTGACATTTATTGAAAAAATTGTCTCATGTTGAGTATTCAAGAAAGATTTACTTTAAAGTAAACAAACAAACACACAAGTAGACTTTTTTTTTTAAAGGGTTAGGATTCATGTCGTTCCAAACCCGTAAGACTTTCGTTTATCTTCGGAACACAAATGAAGATCTTTTTAATGAAATCTGAGCGATGATTTCTGTCCCTCCAATGGCAGTCCACGCAACTACCAAAAATTCATAAAGAGATCGTAAAAATAATCCATATGATATGAACAGATTTAGGGATCGTTCCAAATATAGGAACTATCCCATTACAAAGCAAGGAGTTAGTCTGAGACAAAAGTGGTTTACACAAATTTATTACACTTTTTACCAGTACAAAATACAGTCGAACTAAGCAGTTGAGGCTAAATAAAGATATTTTAAAGACACAAAAATAAGGTATCAATATAGTAGTGAGAAGAATTGCAGCTACCTCCATAAAAATAATCCTTAGCCAGAAGCTTTAAAACAGCATTACAAAAAAAAAGAAAGAAGAAAAATCTTTCCCAAAAGCACATGACAGGCGTTAAAGTACAGAGCCTGACACTCAACAACCAACCACAGTGAGAATACATCCGCCAATCACTTCTCAGAAACAAACACAAAACAGCTAGTAGAAATAAAGTTTATCTTTGTAAATAGCAGAGAGGGACATGTAGGGTGCCCGTTATGGGCCGCTACCAGGCACCGGTAAAGATCCCAACCGGGTTCAGCGCAACATCTTCAAAAACAAATGATGTATCCTGAAACCGATAGATCTCCTGAAAATGTCTCCAGCTTTACTTCAACTAAGTGGGCACGTTGTTTTTATTAAAAGCGTGAAAACTAAAACATCAGATGTACAGCACCAGGTAATGAGGCATATTTGCAAGAATCTGCATATTCTGTTACTAGACGCGTCTATTTTTGGGTTTTCTACGTCTTCTAGAAAAGGCTTTCTGAGATGTGGCGCTTTATAGAAATTTTTAGCTATTACGTAGCGTTTACGTTTTTTTGCTATTACATATACACAATATCTACTTAAATATGTTATGCAAAAAAACATTTTTTTTTAATCTTAATTAAAAAATAATAATTTTTAATAAAAATAACACAAAACTAGTCATAACCTGGTGAGCGCAGACTCACTTCCAGTTACTTCAGAAGGCCTTGTGTACAGATGCACGCTCACAGGTACGTTCAATATATCGACAAATCACCGAGGCTCTTTTTAACCACTGCAAACAACTAAGAACTCATCAAATAACTACAAAACTAGACCAAAAAGTTTCACAAACCATATTTGGTGAAAACTGCTTTGCTTGGGTTCAAGAGCAGCAGAGCAGTGACCATCAACACAGTAGGCGTATGTACATCCTGAAGCTTTCGAACGAGAACGGGGTACTTTCAGGGCAACCGATCGGAGCAAACAGTCGAATAATCTCTTATAGTGACTTTTATAAAACGTATTAAAAGTTAGACATTAACTCATTAGAACTAAAAACTGTTGAGGTATAGACTAGGCATCTCATATGGCCAGGGGTTTATCTACAAAACGTCTGGAATGGAGCGTTCTCCATCCATTTCGTCGTGGAAAGGCTTTGCATGTGCAGCAGGTTTGGGTGGGCGCTGCGATGCAGCTTTGGGGTCAGCAGGTTGCATCTACGCCTGAGGAAACGGCCGAGGCAGAAAGTCGAAAAAATGTGACCATCTTTAAAAGGTGCTTTAGACACATCTGAGGTTCTGAGACGATACATTCATTCTGCGGTTAGAGGCACGGCCGAGGAAACGACAGAACGAGAGAAGGTCAAAGAGAAAGAGAGAGACAGTTCTGCTCTAGTGTTTCTTTTCTCATCTAAGGCACTGAAAGAAGACTATGGCACATGAAAAAACACGTCACAAAACCAGCACGTTCTTGTTTCACAGTTGGAGAAAACCTAAAGGCGCGAGCGAGAGAGAGAGAGAGAGAGACACACACACTGACCCTAAACAGACCTACGAACCCTCAAGATAAAGAAAAACCTCACGGCCGAGTGTTAGCTTGGCCACCGGCAGCCGTAAGAATGTGGTCTGGGGTGAGCCTGACGCCCTGCTCTTAGATCTCCTGCAGGGAGTGACTGCTCTCGATTCTCTCTCTCTTCACCGCCGGCTCGCTCATACTCCTCTCGCTCATCCTCGACATGTCTCCATCACTGGCCATATCGTCTGAGAATGAGGCATCTGGGAAAGGAAGAAAAGAGAAGGATGTTGGAGTACAGAGCAGAGGAACTTTCAAAATGAGAAAAAAGAAACTTTCTTTTTTGGGGTTGGCATCAAAATCCATTACCTTTCTCCATGAGTGATGGCATCATTGAACTGAGGTCACTGAACTGAAAATGTACCAAAAAAAAAAAGTTTTTTACATGGATTTGCATATTGTACTACATTTTAAAACCTATAAATAACATTGATCTAAACAAAATTGAAATAATGTTAAACCAATTAAATATTTATTATGTGAAAAGTATTTGCTTAAATTGTTTATATTTAGTCATTTTCACCACAACCAAATGTACAATTTACCAAATGTTAGTGTAATAAACAAGTGAGAAAAGTATAAGATAAATATCACTTATGAGCAGAATATTTTTATGAATTATTTAAATAATAATCTCTATCTACATATTTATTATATAATATAAATATAATTAATATTAATGTGTAGACAGACATAGAATTATACCAGTAGTATTATTATTATTATTATTATTATTAATGTGAATGTACAAACAGACAGAATAATGCAATTAATAAAATTATGAATATGAATGTGTAGATCGATAGAATTATAATATGAATAGTATTAATATGAATGTGCAGACAGATAGATTTATTATAAATATGTAATTCGGTGTATTTACTATAAAATCAAATAGCTAGCTAGGAAATTAGCCTTAGAAAAACAAAGAATTCAACCACTTCCCTCCCAAAAAAAAGGTCAAATGTCACGTCAGCCACAGAATACTATTGAACACAATACATCGTTTGAATTGTGATGGAATGGAGGTTTCAGAAAAATAACAATACTCTGATGGCGGCGGCACGCATACGTGCTCTTGGACATTGTTATTTAAATAAACTACTGAAGGAGTGAAAAGTGTGTATTCATTGAGTTTATTTTCTTAGTCGACAGGGCCAAAAGAAACGCCTGCATGTGCTCAACGCTTAATACAAGCGGTTAGATTAATGCACGAAAGTCTGAAATATTAAACTATGGAGCAGCCAGATCTCCTCACCTCCCCCATGACAGCAATGGGCGTCTCTCCGGTTGCATGGGCGACACGGTGTTCTACCAAATAGAACATGTATTCATCATAGAGCAGACGGATGAGGTGGAAGGAGCCAAAGCTTGCGGCCGAGCGCAGAGTCAGATCTCTGATCACCATGGAGCTGTAACCAGGGCAACAGAGAGTTTCATTACAAACTACCACAACAAAACCACAACACCCGCCACAGATTAAAGCGCTGCTTTCAATCTACTCTCTTCAGAAGATCAGTGGTTGTAAAGCTGTGTGTCTGTTAAGAGGCCTGATGAAATGGAAGTCAGACCTGCAAACTCACAAGTGGTGAAAAAGGTGACATGTTTACAAAGTCATTTGGGGGATCGTCCCCCACGAGACAATTTTTATGATTTTAACATGTAAATGAAGCATTCTGACAAGAAACATTTTGCTTCAAGTAAAAAAAAACATTTATTGACACAATTTGATTCAATATTGATTAAGTTGGGGCCTATCAGGTACAGTACATAGCAAATTTCTTTCAAATATCTCTCAACTAATGCTGTAAACCATAAGGAACCCCAGTTGGTACATCATTCTAATATTAAAGATTAAAAATTATTTATTTGTAGGCTACTTACATTTAAATCACGCAAAAGGAAGGTTTTATAATAACGTTATAATACATTTTTAATGGCATAATCATGTTTCTACTCTTTTTTTAAATATAATCATTTAAACGGTGGCTGTCATAAGTAAATAGAAGTTATTCTGAAACAATATTCTCATCACCTTTTACATACTTAAATCTGCATATTTGTGATTTTTACCCCAGGGTGTTATTTACCTTTGTAAAGGAATTTTTTTTAAACCTTACTAAATATATATATGCATTATCTTTCATGTCAAATTCTTACATTTGATCAAATTCAGTTTTAATAATAAGGGCTTTAAACAAATGTAAAAATAATAATAATAATCGAAACAATGATCATTTTAAACTAAACCGCCAGTAGGTGGTGGCAAGTGACCGTCTTAATAAATGAATCATTGAGTTATTCATTAAACGATTCGTTCAAAATGCTGAATCATTCAATTACAAAACACCACGCTGAGTGTTGCTTTTCTTTTGTAACTATTTTCATCGGTGAAATAGAACAAAAAAAGTCAATATTGCGTCTAAATTGTAAGTGACTACATATTATCTAGGCTACTTGTTTATTAAATTATTCAATGTAAAATTTGCGATAGTGATAATATTGAGTAGAATATTTACTTGAATGTTGCTCTACTATCATATATTATAAATAAAAGAACTCAACATTTTGAGTTTTTACCTCAGTATGTTTCTTCTATGAGCGCTGCCACTTGCTTGAACTGAGGCGCTACAGTGATCTGTCACGCCACAGAGCGCACAAAAAGATTGCGACAGAGACGAGAGACGTCTATGGTCTCACTCCCGTCAATTTTCTATTTTTATTGTATATGCAATTTCACCCCTCAACCCCCAACCCCAGAAAAAAAAAACTCATCGGATCTACACGATTCAAATAAATGACATATTTTGTTTCAAAACAGCGAATTTCGCCGAAAAGCGACTAGTTTGCAGGTATGGGAAGTGAAATAAATGTAGTTGAGAAGAAAGAGCCCACCGAGGGTTTTTATAGGGAGCCTTGTACCTGTAAAAGGACCACTTGAGCAGGAACTGGCGCGCGGCGCGAGGGAAGCTGGGACTGCCGTCGTAGGGTTTCAGAACCTGGTTGACCACGTTATCCAGCCAGGCGGCCCACTGATCCAGAGAGCTCTGCTGCTGCAGGGTCACCTTAAAGTCTTGCTCCAAACGCTGGACCACACTCTCATCACACTGGCACACCCAGGACGCCTGCTCCTGTGACACACACACACACACACACACACACACACAGAGTGAGCAGAGAACGCACACTCACACCTCCTTATAACCTCCATGAACCTGAAGTGTTTCTGATGATGTTCCAGCAGAAGACAGACCTGCACGTTAGCGAAGTCCACTCTGTTGAGGTCGCTGAGCATCTGGTTGATCTGCGAGGTGTTCTGCAGGACGGCTCGAGCCGCCTGAGCCAGATGATTCAGAGAGGTGTAACGGCGCAGGGTCTGCGCAAACGCACTCACGACTGCAGCCTGCGCAGACGACAAAACCTTGTGAGCATCAACACAAAAATACCCAATCCTCACATCCTGCAAGGTCAGTCACCACGGTTACACAGTTTACTTCTAAAGCAGAAAAAACATTCATCATAGGCACAATAGACCAACGCTACTTTTGCGTCATCGAAGGGTAACGCCCCTTTTTGGGGGAAAACAAACGGATTCCCCTGAGAACAGAACTCGCTCTAGATCTGCTAAGTTTCTTCAAAAATGGCACAAACATACACACTCTCTTTGCCGGCCGAGGACCGTGAGCGGTATTTAAATAAGCTGGATACAGGGTTACAGAGGTGTCCCTTTGAAATGGTCGAAAACTGGATTAATGACCCCACGCAGTGGCCAAATATGGGCTATTCAGACATCTACCACTATCTCGTGGAATCACCAAGTAAGTAACGTTAGCCTATTTTTTTTGTCATTAACACACTCACAGTATGACAAACTAGACGATGAGGCCATGTCACTTGGATCATATTTAACTTGATTTAAGCTATTGACAGTTTTGTTTTCGACCATTTCAAAGAGACACCTCTGTAACCCCGTATCCAGTAGCTTCTTTAAGTTTGTGCCATTTTTGCTATCAAGAAACTTAGCAGATCTAGAGCGAGTTCTGTTCTCAGGGGAATCCGTTTGTTTTCCCCCAAAAGGGGGCGTTACCCTTCGATGACGCAAAAGTAGCGTTGGTCTATACACAAGCATACACGTTAACCTAACTATGTTTTTAACACAACACTTCAAATGTTTGGGGTCAGTAAGATTTTCTTTTGTAATTAATACTTAATCAAGTATTTTTTTTTTTTCACAGTTTTTGTGTCGGCCCCTTTAAATGCAGAAAAGTGAAATCATAATCAACCACGCCTTTAACTAATGTTAGCTAATGAAACCTTATTGTTAAGTGTTAGCAAAAAATGCAATCCCAGGAATAATTGCATTTGAAAATGTATTAATATAGAAACAGTTATTTGAAATCGATAACAGAAATTATTTCACAAATATTACTGTTTTTACTGTATTTTTGATCCAATAAATGCAGCTTTGGTGATCATAAGGTATTTGTTTCAAAAACATAAAATATTACTGACCCCAGACTTTTAAACAGAAAATGTAAAGAATTACATTATTGCATTATCAATTTATTAAAAAAAAAAAAAAAATCCTTATATTATCACATCCATGAAAGAAAGCTTTTTGTAGTTTTTGAGTATCATTATTATAGAATAGCATTTTTTTTTTTCACATTTTAGAATTTCCTACATTAATAATATACATTGTAAATTAATGTATTCAAAATTTAATTATATATTTTTTTTTTATTAGGGTTTTCAGAATGTCTTCTTGGAATTTTGTCTGTTTTAGCCAGCTTCTGAGAACATTTTCAGCAAATTTCTCCTTTAAGTTAAGGTCAGAAACACACACACACTCACACACATACCTTAGTGCGGACAATCTCCTGTGGGAAGTCAGTCATAGCTGAGGTCAGCCACCCCTCTAGACTCTTAGCGAAGTTTCTGATAGCTTGAGTGAGTGTGCCTGCAGGATCACATTTCCCATCAGTCATGCACTCAAACATTCAGCCCACAATACAGCAGCAACACTGACCCTGGAACAGGTCACAGTAAGTGTGTGAAGAAGTCGAAATACTAACTGGGAACAGGCCGCAGTACATCAGGGATGAGAATCTCCACCAGTGCCTGATACAGGATGTGATCACAGCTCCTCATCCATTGTTTGATTGGTTCATATTTACACAGAGCGATCAGCTTCTCTCTGGGGAATCCTGGGATGTCCTCCACATCCTCTTCACTGCACAATATACCAACACATGTTCGTTCAGACAGAAATCCCTTCGTTTAAAACCGCAAAACTTACTTTACTTGATTGCAAGTAAAAAATATCTAAACAGGTTGTATCTTTTAAAATAATGGATTAATTTATTGTACAAAAATGTATAATAAAAAATATCTAAACAGGTTGTATCTTTTAAAATAATGGATTAATTTATTGTACAAAAATGTATAAAAACGCATCAATGTTTCACTCAGAGAGCGCAATACCTATACTGCAGTTCAAAAATATGGGGTCAGTAAGATCTTTTTTTTTTATAAAGAAAATAATACTTTTGCTCAGCCAAGGACACTTAAATTGATCAAAAGTGAAGTAAAGACATTATTAAAAAATATTTCTGTTTTTCATGTTTCCACAAAAATATTAAGCAACAAAACTCTTTTTTTAACATTGATAATAATAATAATAAATGTTTTTTGAGCAGCAAATCAGCATAGAATGATTTCTGAAGGATCATGTGACACTGAAGACTGGAGTAATGATGCTGAAAATTCAGCTTTACCATCACAGGAATAAATTACATTTTAAAATAGATTAAAACACAAAACAGTTCATAAATTGTACTAATATTTCACATTACTGTTTGTTTTCACTGTATTTTTTATCTAATAAATGCAGCCTTGGTAAGCAAAAGAGACTTCTTTCCAAAAGACAAAATCTTAAACTTTTGAACGGATGAAAAATAACACACACACACTACTAATGTCACTACTACAGGAATGTCCTTGACTTTCTTTGATGACTTTTCCAAACTAAAAATCCCAATTTAAAAATGTCTAGACACTTCCAGGTTTTCCATGACTGTATTAAGGTTTGTAGCACCTGTTAATGGTAGTGGCTCCGTCACTAGATGGCGCTGTTGAATACCAAAAGGTCTGCCATAGCTTCTCTATGAGATGGAACTGCAAGTTCATCACTACGTCCAGAGTCGCCTGACAGAGAGAAATCAGGGTTATAAGCAATGTTTAAACAAGCTTCCATGAATTAAAACACTCAAACAGCAAAACAGGTTCCTGCTGATATATCAAACGCAAGACTGACATTATATACCAGTGTAACAACTTGCAAAACAAATGATTTTGGAACAAAAACACTGATGTGTGATGTCGATTTTGAGGCTGTAAGAATATCTTGAGAAGCTCCTATGTGAGTTATGATATAATTTGTGAGATGAGTGTGCTCTATTCTGAGCGCCTGTCTTTCCTGTTGGCATATCAGACAACGTCGAGATCATCTCACGACATCACCGTCCATCTCGCAGTTTAAATTATGAAAACAGCCAGTGCTCATTCAGAAGCACCCATCTTGAGAGCAATCCACCTTCTTATAAACAGTTTAATAGTTACACAACACAATCCACATGCAGAAACTTTCAACTACATCTTATATTCTGGTTTATGTCCCAAAAAATAAAGGAACTTTAGTCGGTGTGGTGGGGATGGTATTTCAGTGAACTGTGACATACAGAAATAAAAGTAGGTGTTGGTGCTTTACTGGAGAGCAGAAGTGAGAGTGTGGTGAGTTCGCTGTGTGTTTGTCTCAGAGTGATTCACACTCAGCTCTCAGATTCTCCTCGATGAGGACACACTCTTGTATCCAGTTACACGCCCCCCTCCCTCCCTCCCTTGCCGGTCACATGCTATGTTTTGGCTTCCATAGCCAGGTCACCATGGCAACCTTGTTTACCGTTGCCCCGGCAACAGTTTAAACACAGCACACCAAAAAAAAAAAAAAAAAAAATCTCTTTCCTGGACAAACAAGCTTTCTTATCTTAGTCTAAAGAGAGGAAAAGGACTATAGTATTGCATCTAGAGGACAAGTCGATGATTTTTTAAGGGTACTGCACTTGTGTGAACTCTAAAAAATATATATATATATAAAATCTGTTTTATAAATTCACATCCTATCTCAGGCAGCACTAAAAGTGTAGAGCTCTGACTTCCTGAAGTGTATCAGCACTCTACACCTACTTATGAGTTTTCGAAGAGCATAATTTAACACGTTCAAGTGATTTTGGTCAAATGAAAATGGATATGTTGGGCAATTTCATATCTTTCTCTCTTTTTCACTGCCTGAAAAGCACTGGAAACTTTAGCGCTAGTGCAAAAAATGAAGAGTGACAGGACATTTTGGTGTTAACTTTGTTTCTTTTTTTTAACCCGTCCACTGTGAAATCAATTGATCGTGATTAATCGCAACATAAAATGTATGTTGTGTGTGTGTGTATACAAATATATTAAGGGTGTAACGGTTCAAATTACTCACGGTTCGGTTTTAGGGCCACGTTTCGGTATTTGCTATGTTAAGGGGAAAAAAGTACTTATGTCAAATAAAAATAAAGAAAATAAGAACAAGATTTGTTGTTTGATTAACAAAAACAGACAGCAGAAGTAATATTGTGCTGCTGTCACTTTAAGATACAATGCACGGATCCAATATACTGATACTGTACACATGGAACACAGGAAATGCCCCTGATATAGTTTGTAAATATATAATATATGTGTAACACGCATATATTATACATTTACAAACTATTATTTTAGATGCTATTAATCATGATTAATTGATTTGACAGCACTACATCAAATATGTTCTGACTGCTTGTGTTTGTGTGGTGTTGCACAAAGCTTGTCACTGGACCCGTTTATAACAATATTAAGAGAGTGAGTATGAAAGATATTCAGAATGCGAAATCATTTCCATTTGAATGGGAGAGGTCTGAGTGAACCTGTTCATGATGCAATAAGACTCTAGTTTGGTGTTGCAGAAATCACACACTTGACTTTTATGCTTTACCAGCAACAACTTAACTTATATTTCAGTAGTGAGGAGCATGCAAAGACCCACAGATGGCAAAGATCCTACTGGATGAAAGGTTGATTGGGAAGACTGAAAACCCATAGTCTGAGGGATAAAAGAAGCCCTGGAACAAAAAGGTGTGCAGTGGACGGGGAGGGACAGAAAGAGAGATGGAGAGAAGGAGCGCTCGAACATGGCAGAAATGACATTAAAAGTGAGAGCTAGGAAATGAAGATGGGTCGAGTTCATCTGTCAGGATATTGAGAGCAGTGCTACACTCCGAATGTAATGAGACCAGACACATTCTGAAAGTAAAACTCAAGAATACTTCAAACTAGAAACTCAGAAAGTAGGGAGAAGGAATACTTAGAAAAAGCCCATCAACAGCTTTTTCACAGTTCCTCATTCAACAGAAATTAAGTGCTGTTTATTCTTCCATTAAAACACATTGAAACTGAAAAGTAAAACCTAGAGAAAGAGGGTGTTGCAATTAAAATTGTTCTATACAAGGTTTACGACTTTAAATCGATTATAATATTTACTTTATTTTGTTTAAAGTACATTTTCTAATTTGATGAAGCAAAACATGGGAAGAGAAGAAATCTAATCTACTCCAAAGAACAAATCTCAAAACACTCCCTTTCCAGCACACATGAAATAGAGTGAATTTAGTATTCATGAAAGGAAGCAACTCCTTATCAACCAACTTCTGGAGATAACAGACACAGAGAGAAGAGAAATGTTTATATTTTTTAAAGCACCATCCTTTGCAAAGCACTATGGTTATTACAACATTATTTTTATATTTGATTTAGAAAATGTTTTAAGTAAAATTATAATTATACAACTACCGTTCAAACCATTCAAAGTTGAATAATTGTACAACTAGTTTTTTTGTAATGTTTTTGAAAGAAGTCTTTCAAAGCATTTATTTGTGAAAACAGTAACAATGTGAAATTTTGCAATTTAAAAATATATTTTAAAATATATTAAGAAAGAAAGCAGTTGTGTATTCCTGTGATGGCAAAGCTGAATTTTCAGCATCATTACGCCAGTCTTCAGTGTCACATGATCCTTCAGAAATCATTCTAATATGCTGATTTGGTGCACAAGATACATTTTCTACATTTCTTACAAGTTTCTTACATTTCTTAAGCGGAAACGCTATCGCTTTTATTCAGGATTCTTTGATGAATAGAAAGTTCAAACGCACTGGATTGATTTGAAATAGAAATCTTTACATTATAAATGGCTTGACTGTCACTTTTGAATGGTAGTGTGAGTAATTAAAAATTAAAAATCAAAGAAATAAATGATGTGTCTGTGTGCGTGTATTAAGCATGGACAGCCATACTGGGGTTCTAGCAAACACTCAGGCTGTTCTGTTTTCAAAATCCTCAGAAATCACAGAACAGAATCAAACAATTCTAAAATGTCTAAATGAATGTGAAATTAAATCTGATGCAGTTAACACATTCAATTCAACAGAGACTGTGTGACAAATATTCACAGATTGTGAAAGAACATTGTTCATACAAGGTCGCTCTCTGAGAGATGTTGCAGGTGCTTGGTTTTCCTTTTTCCGGCTGCCCGTAATAACAAGGCTCACATTCATGATGGAAAACATGCAATACATTGTTGCAAGAAAACAGCCTTGGGTAGATTAGTGTAACTATTTGCTGTGGTATATTTCATTCATTATTGTATTTCTTTAACATTCTCATTATTCCATAATCATACATTTTTGTGTACTTGATATGTACTCACATTCTGATTCATTCCTTTACATATTTTATATTTTACTTTACATTTTTGAATTATGAAATGATTTGAAGTTGTTGTAATAAGCATATAATATCAGAATTTTCATTTCCTCTGGTATAAGGAATAGTTTATCTTTGCCAGGGTGTCTCTATTATTTTCTAAAGATAGCTGTTAAGAAGTTGCTTCCTTTCCACGGACCCTGTGACACTGTTTCCTCCACTGGGTGCTCTCAGAATAAAGAAAGTAGTGCATCCCTAAAAGGAATCATCCTCTATTTGCAAATGTGCTCAATTTGGAAAAAACAACAACAAACAACAACAACAACAAAAAACAGTGTAGTACCTCACAGTGAATCCTGTAGTTGTTCTGTAGATTTTTGACATCGTTGATGCTGATTGGCTCAGGCAGAGGACAAGAGCCCAGATCAGGTGAAGGGAAGGGGGGAAGGACGTGAGACACATCTGCAAAAACACACACAGTGTTACCAAGAGCGAGTAGTAAGACTTGAAGCTGGTTGTGTATGCATTCAGATGTTTTTGATGTGCTTGTAGGTAAATTCTATTCAATTCTATTAAATGTAGAAAAATGTATAATGTAGAAAAAGCCTGTACTAATCAGGGCTTTGCGATTAATCGTAGCTGATTTTCGATTTTCAATTTTGGCTTCCAACGATTATAAAAACATCGAAGGTAAAATGAGAAAATCGAGGTAAAATGTTTATTCCAATCCTTCCTTGGGCTAAAAGCCCAAACTTAACATCCAAACCAGACAAATAAGTAAGTGTTGTAAAATGCAGTCTACTGTTGCTAAACTTTGATATTAAACAGTGTAATTAAAAGCGCATTAAGACACCTGCAGTTTATTTATTAACAAACGTACACGTCACGCGCATTGAACACTGATGGTGAAACGCGTCAATTAGTAATTAAGTCATAATAAGTGTAAGTTAAATGTACAGTGTACGACATGTAAAAAAGACAAGAGGCTAACAATGTCAAGATTAATATTTGTGTAGCCCGACACGGTATTTTCACACTGCATCCGTTCCAGGAGCGGTGCGTAGCAGTGCAGAGATCGTTTACACACCGAGTCTATTTTTGCTGTGCTGCACGCGCTGAATTAAAGTGACAGCGCATAGTTCGTGGTCAAAATGAGCACAAATTGACTATTTCATCATAAATCCATTTAATTAAATAAAATGTAGTAATCTCACCATAAATGCATTTAAATACTACTATTTTTTCACAGTCATCTATTTACTTTGACTTTTTAATGGTTTTTTAGAGAATATTTTGATTTGATAGTTAAAAGATTAAAACATTTTGCTGACATGAGGTCTTGTGTCACTGTCAGTCTTTTTACATCAGTGCAAAACTATGGTATGCAGATTAATCCCATGGCATGTAGCAACAAAAAAAAAAGGTGCGACCAAATCATATGCTGGTGTGAGCAACTGAGAAAGTCCAGTGCAACCAGTGGAAAAGTTAGTCTGGAGCCCTGGTAAGGAAGAAAATGCATGTGTAACGGTATATTGGATCCGTGCATTAGCTTTTAAAGTGACAGCAGCCTAATACTGTATGTCTGCTGCAGTCTGTCATTAACAATAATCAAACAACAAATGACAAAGGAAAAACTCACTTGACTGAATAACTTGAGTAGCTTTAATCTATATTTAATGTGCACAACAAGACTACGCAGTGTTTACATTATTTTTGTTTTAGGCTGTTACTTATCTATTAACAGTGGTATTCAGATCTTTCTGAAAAACTTAAAACAGCATTTATTTAATTTGCATTTTCATTTTGTTGCATTTATTTGTTTGTTTTGTAACTAGTTTTTTTTTTATTGTATTGCTGACTGTTTACTTGTCTTATGTAATTATTTTGAAGACCTTTTTCTTACATCAGCAAAAACTAATACTAATAATCCTAGGTTAACTAAATTGTGAAATTTCACTGATATTTAAAATGAATCATATCATGAAATAAGACTTTGTCATCATAGCATATCGCCCACCAACAATCATGTTAAATAATCTTCAATATTGACCAAAAATAATCGTGATTATGATTTTTGCCATAATTGTGCAGCCCTAGTACTAATGTATTAAATCATGTATTAATGTATAAAAAGTCATGGAGGAGGTTTACCAATATACTGCTGGTGATGCTGGCTCTGGGCCGCCACGCTTTGCTCGGGGGTGCTGGACGAGTGCTGGGAGCCGCTGTTCAGACTGTCCCCCATCCCATCCATCTTGTGAAAGGGCTTAAACCTAGACACAGGAAATACCAACAGAAGGACTAAATGTTGAATTCACAACTGGGGATTACAGATGACTTATGACTAAGCAAGAAAGCGAAGATCATTTTCCATCAGGCTGCAGAGCCAGTGTCCAATCTGAAGGTGTTCTGTGCATTTCCAATGGCAAAAAATTCTCGTCATAAACCGGATGTCGGCATAATGTTTTAAAAAGAAAAAAATAATTGAATAACAGGACATTAAAATGTATTTTATTTAGAAAAATCATGCGTGAATTGATCAATAAGAATTATTATTATAAATAATATCAATATAATTTATTCCCTATAAATGTCTCACAACTGCATCAATTGCAGCTAGCTGTGGCATACATGACTTTTTTAATAATTTAATTAATAATTAATTCGTAATGTTTAAATAAGTTCACAAAACCCACGCTGGTTTTCTGTGTCTGAGATAAAACTCGGTCTGAGTGTCCATATATTCAGCCAGTGTGGGACATAATTAGACATGGATTTAATGAATCCAGAGCTCTAGCGGGATTCTGAACAATAGAGTAAGACACAGGATCTTTGTGATCCTGATGGCAAAGAAGTCTGGGAGATGAAGATTGCACGCAAGTGAGAAGGAGAGAGCGGGGATGTTCATTTCACCTCTGTTTCTGATGGACAGGTTGTTGTCTCATTGCCATGTACTGCGTGTCCTCCTGCAACCGGTTGAGAGGCGAGTCAGGCTTCAGACGAATGCCATAATAATGGTATTTTGAGTTCCCCCTGAGACACACACATGCACATAGACAAAATGAGCTATCACATTTTTTCCCCCAGCAACAACACACCACAATTTGAGACTGAACGGCATTTATTTCAGACCATCATCTCATGATCATTCTTTAGGTATTAGAAGAGTGTCTGCAGCAAATCCACTCAGCAAATGTTCTTCTCTGTGCTGCTGTGGTTTCGAGACCGGATTGTGCTTTTCTTTTGAGAGTGGATAAGCTGTAAAAGTAGTTTACAGCTTATAGATTTATAGTTTAGATGTATTTTTGTGGGGTGTAGTCTTAAGGAGTTTCCTTTGTGTCTTTTTATTCAATCAAACATACTGTGTTTGAAAACAAAAATATATTGCAATTAAAAAAAACAAAGGTTTGCAAATAAAAAACTGTTTTAATTATAAAAATAAAGTAATTGATAACAAAACTCTTTAAAGTGCAAGTACATATTTGTTTGTTTTTTGTGCAGTTTTCCTCACGCATGTACAAATTTGCTCTCTGTTCTGCTGTCATTGTTTGCTTGAGTGTTGAAAAGTTTAGAATTCAAGTGAACATGCGTCTCAGTGGCCGGTATCTAAGCACCAGAATGAAAGACCTGTTTCTATTGGTCATTCGTGTTTGGCGCAGTAATTTGGCCACACCCACTGCCTGGTCCCACCATGAGATACACATTGTAATGCCCTAACAAAATATCAATTTTGATCATTATTTACAGTAACAACTTTATGGACCATTTATGCAACTTAACATAATGCAGCTGAATAAGCCGAGTCATTTCAAGTGCAGTCTTTCAAGAGAGCATTAAATATGACAGTGGCTGATGACACACACTAATGGAATCCAAAGTTTTATTATATTTCACTCTACCAACCTGTTTTATGAACTCTTGAACTCTAATCAGCTGCTCTATTGCAATTTCTGCCCAGTCGACACAGACTTTCTCAGCAATGTCCTTTTGATCCTAATATACATTTGCCCACATTATCAAATGTTTTTCTAGAAAACAAAACATTTATGACCTAATGTAAATTATATTTGTCAAATTTCATCATGTCATATTATCGCACCTGCTAACAGGTGCATTATAGTTAACATTAGCACCAATCTAGATGACAAAGCTCAAACCTCACTTTAAAACACCTAAGAGTCTTTGTACAAACTTATTGTGATGCAAAGTGGATTTACAATAAAATAATCAGAAATACACCTCACCTTCAGCATTTCTAATATAATTATTTATTCTCATAAAAATACCGCAAATTAATTGAAAAAAACATCAAACCAATAATAATGTTGTAATCGTCTATTTATTATCTTCATGTTTCATCTGTACAAACATCTATTTCTATCTGTTATTTATGTACAGAGACAGAATGAGGAAGTTTACAGGATTTTGTCCTGGAAAGGTGCGAGTTATGACCACGTAATGTGAGTGACAGATCAGTAGCGAATCATCTGTCGGAGTCATTTGACCCGGAATAGAGGCAGAGCGCATCAGATCTCATAATTTAGTTCTTTCTAAAGAAATATGAAGTAAACATGGGAATCCAATCAATCAAATTTTTTTTTTTAATTTTTTTTATGTGCACACTTTTGGACTAAAAGCCCTAATAGACCTTGTTTAGTGCAATCACAAAGAAAACAGAGCAGACACGATTGAATATGCATGTCACGTTATTTCCTTTGAAATATGACAGCAGAACATAGAGCTAATTTGTGCGTGTGCGTGATTTACTCACACTGCAAAGAGTTTTGTTATCGGTTACTTTATTTTTGCAATTAAAAGTCTTAAGAAGCCTTTTTATTTGCAATCTTTTATTTTTTTAGTTACAATATAATTATGTTGGCTCTCAAAACCATTTTGTTTGATTGCATAAAAAAAGACACAAATGTAATTCTATATAGTCTGACCTGGTGCCAAGTCGGCGTGTGCGAAGGCCCATGAAGACAGAGCGGATGAGTTTGCCAAAAGAGGCGGCATTAACCGGATCCAGTTTTTGCTCCTGACAGTGTCTCAGGTAGTGGTTATACAGAGAGCTCCGCGGCAGACTCACTCCCTCAGCCGTCTCATAATTATCCAGCAACCACTGCAACTGTACACACACGAACAACCAATGAATAAAACAGTACATATTCAAGAAAGCTTAAATTCAAAACAATAGCATAAACAAAACCACACATTACAGAACACTTATGCATACATACTGTATGTTCATATTCATTACCAAATTAATTTGACTGATAAAAAGACCTTCATGGGATCTGCACTTGTTGTGTATTTTATTGCACAGGGAGTAAGGAAATGTGTGGAAATCTGTTGATTTAAAGGGATAGGTCATCATTTATTCACCCTCATGTCATTTCAAACGCATCTGACTTTCTTCTAAGGAAAACAAAGCCATTTTGAAGAAAGTACTGGTCATTTTTTTCCAGTGACAGTGACTTGAACTTCAGAATCCGATTAGTTTTATTTGCGAATTAATTTAGGCGGGTTTTGTGCACGGGATTATGGGATTCTCTGAAAAGGTTTAAAGGGACTCACACAATGATTTGTGAATGTGCTAGGAGAGCTAGGGCAGACATCAAGATATTCCATAAATACATTCATTTTTCTGTTCCTCACAAAGCTATTGTATTGTACATTCTTCAAAAATGTTCCTTTTGTTTTCTACAGAGGAAAGTAAGTCACACATGTTTGGAACAGTGTTATTTTAGTTTATTTATAAACTTATATCATATTTATTAATATATTGAGTTAGCTTTTATTTTCTTTTTCATCTTAGTTTGTTTTAGTAATTTTGTTATGTGCTTTTGTCATTTTTACATTTCTATTTAGCTTTCATTTATTTTTTATTTCAGTTTTAGCTATAGTAATTTTAGAACTTATTTTTTATTAGTTAGTTTCTAGCCAAGGCTACATTAAACCATTTTTTATAGTTTTGGTTAACAATAAAAACATCATAAAGGTGAGTAAATGACAAAATTTCCACTCTTAGGTGAACCTTTTCTTAAAAAATAAAAATAAAAGTTAGTTAAAAGAATTAGCAAATTAGCCAAATATTTCATAAACATGCCAGGGGTGAGGGGTGTGTAGAACTTTGTGAATGAACGGCATTCAAATTCTGTGGGTGCAGATTCTGTGATGGCCTCCTGACAACTAAGGAACAGCATGGGAGAGGGTGTTTTAAACACTCAAGTCTACAGACTTTGAGGGAGTAATAATTGCCCATCTGTGAGGATCAAATAATATGGAGCTAATAATATGACACAATGATTTGAATTTGAATTGTGTAAATTTGAATTATTTGCAAGTGTAATCTAACAAAATTGAATTTTAGGTGGTAGTTTAAATAGTTTTGAATTTGATTTTTTTAAACGAATATTGAACATTTGAAATTTAACAAATTGAAAGGTTTTTATGGCTGAATTTTATAGACATGTATTTTCAAACAGCTAGTTATTTTGTTCTGAATTAAAATACTGCAAATATTCAGTTTAAAAAAATACAGATTCAAGTTTTCAAGATGAAGAAATTCGGAACTTCAAATTCAGTTTTCTAAAATTCAATCTCAAAAATTCAAACTCAAAAATTCAGGTCTTACAGAAAGTAGGTCACAGGTCATCCACAGGGAAGAGTAGATGATCTCAGAAAAGTCGAACAGAGCATTTTGGTCCATTAGGGACTGCAGAAGGTTTCTTAAACATGAATGATTTTGTGTTTGTTAGGTAGCGATCTCATCACGTGAGACATTTGTCTAAGCAGTCTCTGGTGTTTGTTTTAAAGTATATTTTGTGGAAAATTGATTCGAACGCCACCGTGACAGCTACACAGACAGGACGGGGGGTGGACAATTAGTCTTTAGTCTGCCAAAAAAAAAAAAAAACAGATTAAAATCATGAACTCAAATGTCATTGTGAAAAAAAAATTGGTTACTGTTGTGTTGTAACAGTGTGTAGGCTAAATCAGACCTTTCAGGCTATAGCCTAACGCTAATAAGCCTTATGCCAAAATTATTATTACAACTAAATTGTCGGTCATTAAATAGGAAAACTAAATAATTTTGTAGACGATTTGCTTTGTGTAACCCGACATCAGACATAAGGCCCGGACAAAGTTTTGGCTAGTGCTGTCTCGTGAATAAGTCACGTCTGACGGCCGTTTCACACCGCATGCGTGAGCAGCGCGTATTTTTTCCGGCGTGCATGTTAATCAATGAGTGCATCCACAACGGGAGCAGGAGCAGCGTGTGAGCGTCGAGCAGGAGTGAAGCGGGGGTTTCGGCGTCGAATCTGTGTTTGCTGCACTTCTCCAGGCTCAATTAAAGTGAATACACTTTTGATGGACAAAATTTCACACAAAATTGCCCAAAATGCACAGAATAAGCATGTCTAGTGAGTTTAAACAAGAACTTGAGTTGGCAAAAAAAAAGAAAATGAAGACTAAAAAATAGTTAGGCCTATAGAAGATTAGGCTACCTGTTTAAACTTGTTTTTAATTATTCAGTTTGGGTGAATATATATTATATAAATATAGGCCTATTATATTTTAAATAAATATAATGGTGTATTATATTTATTTTATATATATCCTATATATATATATATATATATTAATGGTGTATTATATATAAAACTAGTGTAAACTAGCCAGAAAATATTATATATAATTTAAACTTTCTTTTAGTTTATGTAACACAGACAGCTACAACCCAAATTAAACCCAAGTGTGCGGTTTTGTGTGTGTGTGTTTTGTAGTCTTGTAAACATATCGAAAGTATGACTGAAACGAATAGATTGGAGCTGTTTTCTGTGTTGTTTTGTTTAACATTTATATGTGAATGTTGTACACCTCCCCATAACAAACTTTCAAGACTATCAATTTTATAAATTACCAACTTCTAAAACTCCTTTGTAAAGAATTGCTCGCTTAGCCTATATATGTAGCTTTGGAGCCGCTGCTGTGACACTGTACAAAAGCTTCCAGCGTGAATACTCTCGCGCGTCTGCAGCTGCAGTGGCGATGTAGTTACGCTGACGCGCTGCTTAAGTGCCTCTCACGCATGCGGTGTGAAACGGCCGTGAAGGGGTTGCAAGCACTCCGGTTCGCGTCGTATTCACGATACAGCACACCCTCTCGTAGCTACCGTATGCTTACATGTACGACGCAGTCTAGACCGGACGCGAGCAGAGCGACGCGACCTGTGAAATCCCCAACAGCACACGGATTCCCCATCCTATTTGTGACCAAGCTCTTTGCAACAGTCGCTTTAAGCACTGTGTTGCGTCGCGCCGCGCCGCTCGCGTCCTGTCTGTGTAGCTGTCGACGGACTGGGACTAAAAAACGGCCCTGGACTTTGACTAGGCCCGGCCCAAAGCAATCGGTGCGCGGAAACTCGACAACAACAATAACGCCTGCCGCCTGGCATGAGTGTCACAAATTTAATTGTGGCTCATGATACTATACCATCCAAATTATAGCTAACAGCATATAATACAATCTATTCCATGCTGTCTTAAAATGAATGTATTACTTAATAATCTTAATTCATTTATGCAGTAATTAATTTTGTTTATTTATTGTTTATATGGATTATAGTAATCCTTTGTTTTTATTTGTCTGTCTGTCTCCCTTGTATGTTCTTATGGACCTTTTTATGAGTCTGAAATAAACATGATATAAGCTACTGCACAAATAATAATACCACATCTAAATGAAAATACACCATTACAAATGTAACTTCTGTATTCAAAATCTTCAAAGTTTGTAAGCATCAACTGTAACGTTACCAACATTTTTAAAAGTAAAAGCACAACATATTTCTTAATATTAGCTACTGCATGTGGAATTTTACAGCTAAAATGTTGAAGTTTAGCTGTTTTAACTACTGTAATCATTAAAAATGTAGCACGCTGAATATCACTTCCTAACGTCATCCCTAGCAATTAAGTAACTTGCAAAGTAATTTCTGATTAATTCGATTCGGGAGTAGTAGAGATAAAAGCCCGTCCGCACTGACAATTGATTGGTTGGGTCCTTACATGCGCTTCGTGAGGCACACGCGCACACACACGCAAGGTCTCTCGCTCGCTCCCTCTGCCGTGCGCGTGCTACGCATGTGCGCTCTAGATTCCAGGAGATTTTAACTAATTTGCGGGACTCAGGGAGCCGCTATCAATATGCGGGAGACTCCCGGAATTTCTGGGAGACTTGGGATGTCTGTGACTGCGTGTGTGGCGGGTGGTGGGCCGGCCCGCCGGCCGTCCTGGAGTACCGGCCGTTCTGTGATTCTCCAGATCACACAGATGGCCAGTCCGCCCCTGTGTCACGGTGGCGTTCTAATCAATTTTACACAAAATATACTTTAAAACAAACACCAGAGACTGCTTAGACAAATGTCTCACGTGATGAGAACGCTACCTAACAAACACAAAATCATTCATGTTTAAGAAACCTTCTGCAGTCCCTAATGGACCAAAATGCTCTGTTCGACTTTTCTGAGATCATCTACTCTTCCCTGTGGATGACCTGTGACCTACTTTCTGTAAGACCTGAATTTTTGAGTTTGAATTTTTGAGATTGAATTTTAGAAAACTGAATTTGAAGTTCCGAATTTCTTCATCTTGAAAACTTGAATCTGTATTTTTTTTAAACTGAATATTTGCAGTATTTGAATTCAGAACAAAATAACTAGCTGTTTGAAAATACATGTCTATAAAATTCAGCCATAAAAACCTTTCAATTTGTTAAATTTCAAATGTTCAATATTCGTTTAAAAAAATCAAATTCAGAACTATTTAAACTACCACCTAAAATTCAATTTTGTTAGATTACTTGCAAATAATTCAAGTTTACACAATTCAAATTCAAATCATTTTGTCATATTATTAGCTCCATAAAATAAGCACCTCCACTGACACACTGATGTCATTGTTATATCAGGGCTCACCCAAGAAAAGAATATACGAACATTTGTAAATATTCACTGCCAGGAGCTAAGGAGTCAGTCTAAAAAACAAATAAAATTAATTCTTAAAATATTACATCCTTAAATATTAAATTTGAGTGCTTGATGTTCAGGGGTAAATCTCACACATATATAGTATACACAATGATCCCTGGGATGTTGAATGAATCAGTGGTGTAATGCAGGGGGTCTGAGGCGCTTTAAACCCAAAATACTCAGAGCGAGGGGCTGTTCTGGAAAATGCATGCTCACAGCAGCAGTGAAAAGCAAAGCGAAGAGGCAGGCAGGATGAACTAAGCCTTTTTTTTCAGGATTTGTTCCAGTTTCAAGAAAGTTTTTTTCCCAGTTTGACTTACATGGCTGTTGAGCAGGCTGCTTTTGTGAGTGGCAATCCCTTCTGACTTTTGGAGGTTTTCAATCGCCATTTCAAGCTGAGGAAAAGTAGGAGCATGCAAGACATGAAACGGGGGAAGAGAAGGAAAAAAAAAAACGGAGGGGGTGGAATGTTGGGGGGGGGACAACAGAGAGGGAAAAAAGACACACAAAAAAAGAAAAAGGAAATCAGTCTGTTAGCTGCAGCCGGACTTTGAGCATTTCCATTACAGTCTGTCAGTGTTTGCAGCCACATTCATTATGGGTGGACAAAAAGCATGCAAATGTGAGGAACTCAGAGGGTTACGCCACTCTTCCTGTCTCTGCCTCATATATGCTAATGAGCTGCACACACAGGGCGTGAGGTCAGGCTACTCTCAAACACATGAGACAAACTCTCTAGCCACGTCTGAAATCACACAGTTAGCGGGGTCGTGACCTCTGTGAAGACACGGTCGCATTTGATGCGTGATGCTGAAAAAGCAGATTTAATTCGACTCAAATAAACATGTTTTTCTGCAGGTATTAGCTGGGGTCCTATGAGTTTCTGTTATTGCATATATGAACCGGACTTGTTTCTTCCATAGTGGGCATGAAAAAAAATACTATTTCAAAAGTTGGAATAAAGAGAATAAGGCCTGAAAAGAGATTAAGAAGAAAAGATTAGAGGGAGAGAAAGATATAAAGAGGCAGAGAGAGAGAGTGAGTTTTGGCAGAGTGGCAAAACTTATAAAGAGAAAGAGAGAGACAGGGTGAAAAAAAAAAACAAGAAAAAAAAAACACAGGCATCTTTCCAAGTCTTTAAAAGGCTCCCGAGGGCTCTTGGCCAAATGGTAATGAGCCCCAGGGGTTGCTTTGTTTCGGAGGCCACTCAAGTGGCTGTGAAAACTGCTAAAACAAGGCAGTCGCCTCCTTAAGCCCTGTCCCTGTTTCCAGACCACCTCATAAACTAGCACACTGTGGAAAGAAAGCTACACTCTGATGACAGTGTGTGTCATCTCTCCTCTGTGGTGTATTGGTAATGGAGAAATGTGTTTGCGTGATAAATCTGTGATGTTACTTTTTGAGAAATGCACGGAATTGCAAAACACTTAAAGAACGTAAGAATCAACATCATCTGTGACATGCTGCCGATTATCACAGAAAGTCATTTTGACTCATCCTTCAGTTTGAAAAAAATAATAATAATAGCTCTGTGGGAGATTTAAAGGGGCCATGACATGAGAAATCAAATTTCGCTTGATCTTTTGACATATACGAGGTCTTTGTGAAACTTTCAGGTTGTTTTATTGGTACAGTTTAAAACGTCGTCTTCATTATAAACAAAGTATTTATTTGATCAAGAGCCAAAAATGGCTCATTTTGATATTGCGGGATCTGTGATGTCACACGGGCAAAACATTTGCATATGACTTCCTCCAGAGCAAGATATCGACGAATAGTTATATACATCATTGCACCATAGCATTCAGTCGCTTAACAGCTAACATATTTCCACACTAATCCATTATAATCATTGATGCCGTCTACAGTATACAGATGTGCAGTTTCTGACATAATGTTGTCTGTTGACAACAGGACAAATGGAAGAGTGAAATAACGTCTGCTTTGACGCATCTAGTTTAAACTGCTTTTCGTCTCTATACAGACTTCAGAAGGATCCCTGCATCGGAAACACGTAAATTATTTATTTTTGATGGTGTCCCGGATCACGTTGGGAGGATAATGTTTGTTCTGAGCATTTTATTTTGTAAACGAGGCATATTGTAATGAAGAGTTTGCAAAGAAACTTTTGTTGAAAGATGAGGCAGACCATTTTTGGATCTAACAGTAGCTGCATCACAAACCGTAAGTAAATGATTTCATAATGCTTTGTCTGTAAATAACAGTTTTAAATGGATAATGTTTTTAAAAAACGTACTCACGTGCAATAGCGAGTTGATACTATGTTTCCTATGCAAATGACGTTAGCCAATCATAACAGTGGCTATTTACTGACAAGCCTTAAAGAAATGGCCCTTTAAAAATGGATCATTTCAGACAGAGGGTCAAAATGAGTAGTCTGGGAAAACCCAGACAACTTCCGGCAAATTTAGATTTGCTTTGAAAGTTAGTCTGGCAAAGAGCTCATTCAAGCCCATTTCCAATCCGTCGAAATCGAGGCACCAATCAGAAACGTTGGGGCGGGCTTTACACGATGACGACAGCGCTGGGATTTTGAAGCAGATTTTGTAGCCTACATTACAAAGATGGATGCCGCCGTCGAACATCACTCGTTCGAATCAGCTATCGCGTCTGTTTTAAGCGATTTGAACGTTTCCTTTTTGTTAAAAACCGAGCAAAGAACAACACTCGGAGATGTTTCTCCGCCGCTCTGCATACGTCATCTCCTTCATCGCTCTGATTGGTTTTAGGTCTATCCGCGACGTCCGTTGGTGACGCCCCTCTGGAAATGATTTATCTATGACGCTTTACCAGACCATAACTCAGTTACAACTGACAATGGTCTGGTTTTAACCAGGCTACAAAATGAGGGCTGAAAATTATAAATTTTATGCATATTTGTTTTTGTGCAAAAACTTTATTAACATTTTAAGTGGATCTCAAGAAACATTAAAATAAAAAATAAAAAATTCCATGTCAGTGTTGGGGAAGTTACTTTTAAAAAGTAGTGTAACACGTTACTCGTTACTTCTTTAAAAAAGTAATCCGTTACTTTACTTAGTTACCCCATATGGAAAGTAACTTAATACGTTACTCGTTACTTTTATGTTGCTTGACTTTGGGCAGAACCCAATATCTTTTCCTAAATGTGTAGGCCTAAATAAAGTTCTACTATGCATAATGCCATATATAATGCCATAAATGCATAATGCATTTATCAAAATTTTGAATATTTATGAAGAAATGCCCGTTAATGGATAGGCATATGCATGTGCGGCGTTAGGAAGGGTCTAGAAAGAAAGCCCCCAAGAAAGACCAAAGCACCCCGTTAGCACCCCCAAAAATAATTTCTGGAAGCAATTATATTCAGGCTGTATTCTATGGAAGTCCTGAACCGCATGGTGAAGAAAAAAAATAACACTAATCTTATTTTGACATAATAAGGGGACATTCTAATCTGCATTAAGTCACATTAGGCGTTCTTAAAATGGTTTTCTATGGGAAGAAAATGCTTAACGTGTAATTAAACGTGTATTCTGGGCTCATCTGATTTTTTGTACATAGTATAGCACTTTATTATGATTTTAGTATCATAATGATTAATAAATGCACGCACAATTATCCGTGAACTTGATAAATGTTGCAGATATGTTTTATGCACGTAAACAAATGCCTTTCAACTTATGTGTGCAAAATTCAGAATTAAATGAATGTGCAGCAATTTGTACAAATAGAGAGTCTAGGCCTACTATATGTGTTGTAGCCATTAAATAAGCCCATTTAGTTTCATATTTGTTAAAATATTATAATTTATAATGTTATTTTTTTTCCATCTATGTTGATTATGAAAAGTGAACAGCATGAGTAAGATGGATGCGCAATATATCGGGAGACGTTGAGTGGGTCAGACATGATTTTGACCACTTCATTAAGTTTTGTTTTGAAGAAAGCCTTTCTTTAAAGTGAATTTCGTTTTGTATAAATTGTATCTTAATTTTAATAAATTTTTTTAATCAACCAATTGCTTGGATTTAATAAATAAGAAGCAAATATAGCAGACAATATAATCATGACATGGAGGCGCCGGCGCGGTCACTTGTTGCACGTGAACTGGAGCGCATCTCATCATAAATTAACCGAAACTCAGCGTATATATAGAAAGCTTGAAATGTCTTTAAACGAAACAATTCAAAACGAAAATAAATCTGTCAAATCTGTCAAAAGTCAAATCTGTCAAATGACGGAGATCGCTGTCAAATCATCATCTGTCCCTGGGAAAAGTAACGTTGCGCCGAACTGAAAAACGTTTCGTTACCAAATTTTCAGCAGTAGCGCGTTACACTTTTTACACTTTTTACCCGAAAAAGTAGTTACGTTACTGTAACGTGTTACTTTGTAACACGTTACACACAACACTGGTCATGACCGTTTTAAGCAGAAATGCAGCTATTTATAAAGTCAAAATTGCTGATTTAAATTTAGATATTTTATTTAAATTTAGCTATTTTTCTAGGTAGGTAATCTACTAGTTATGCTTTACTGACTTGAGTCTTAAGGTAAAGAGCCTGTTTCTGGTATCCTTGCACATCTCATGCAAAAGATATTGGGTTTATGGGCTAGATGGTCATTGCAAAGACAATGTTAGTAAGTGATTTTATAAAACGTTTAGGTTTTGTAGCTATACTTAAAATATATATTTTAACGTTTATTCCACTGCAATCCAGTGCCCCACAGACTTTCCTTGTTAGTGTAATTACTGTAAAGAATTTTTGTTAGATTTTATAACCTGAGGGATGAGTTGAAATTTGTTAAAAGACATGATCATAAGCATAACCCAACGTAACATTCCTGTCACATCTCATCTAGACCATATAATAGTCTAACCATAACTTTCTATGATCTCAAAGTAACTGAGACTAAAAACTCCCCTCCCATGTCACTAGTGGAACAGTCTTGAGGGATTTCAGCACAGCGGACCGTACCATTGCAGATGAGGAGCGTGAGGAGTGAGAGGTGTGGTGGCGGCCGCTCTCCATCCCGCCGTGAATCAGGTAGGCACTGCCGCTGGAAATGATCTGACTGCCACCCACATCCATAGCGATTCCCACCATGCTGTGGGCAGGCACTCCACCAGCAGACGAGACAACAGTGGTAACCTGAGTTCCCCCCGCTTGAGAGTCGAAATAGTTGCTTCCGCTGCCCTGTCCATACAGCTGGGACTCAGGGTTGTATGAGTAGGCAGTACGACTGAAGGAACGGAGAATGACAGTAATGATTAGGGTTTAATGTAACCTCAACTTTCAAAGCACATCTTTTGACTTCAAATTTTCAACAGTCTTTAAAGTCCCCCTGTGGTGAAAATCTAACTTTGAATGTTGTTTATATGTCTATGTGGTGTTTTTAATATGCTTTAAGACAAATGATGTGTAAATTCATAAGTCTCTCCCTTAAAACTGCAGTGAACCAAAGACAGTCTCAAAAACGCGGTTTGAAATCGCTGGTGTTTCTGACGTCACAAACTATCTTGTAACCAATCACGTCACGTCAACGTGTGATCGCCAACGAGTGGATCTCTGAGCTGGTGTGAGTGAGTGAGTGAGTGGAGGCGGGGTAATTTGCATATTCATAGAACAGGGTATACTAAATGAGGCAACATTCAAGCTATTTTAAGGCATGAATAATTTTTTTTCAAGGAAAAAAAAACGTTTAATATGTCATTTTGGTGATCAAAGATTATTTTTAAGGGATAAAATTATTGACTACAGGGGGACTTTAAAAGAAGTTTTGATCTGATTCTGGACTCCATCTATGTCTAAATGAGCATCTTTAATGACCAATTAAAGGAGACATATTTTAATATTATTTAGCTAATTAACTACACAATGGACATGAACATACAGAAAAACAGACCGAAAGCTGCTAGGGTTTTCAATATCGATATGAAAATATTAGATATTAAAACACACAGTCATCCATTATTAATCTCCCCCAAAAGAAACACTTTCCATAAAAATGCGTGAAGAATAGGGCCTGACACACTTAAAAAGGCTCCCGAAAAATTTACTAATTTCCTTTTTTATTATGATCAAGCAGCCATTGAAAGTCATTAATTTGTGTTTCTGCCATGAAAAAGGGTCCAATATTATAAAATATGTTAAATATTAAATATTAGTGCCTTACATTTTTTATTGAGTGTTACAAAAATCAGCCTCTTGTACACAAAATGATGAACTGAACACAGGTTTGATTGACAGATTGATAGGTGCTTACATTGTGCCATTGGGGTAGACAGCCTCTGCTCCCTCTACGTACTGCACCTGGGACTGGTACACATGCTGAACCTTCAATCAGAGAGAGAGAGAGAGAGAGAGAGAGAGAGAGAGAGAGAGAGAGAGAGAGAGAGAGAGAGAGAGAGAGAGAGAGAGAGAGAGAGAGAGAGAGAGAGAGAGAGAGAGAGAGAGAGAGAGAGAGACGAGAGAGAGAGAGAGAGAGAGAGAGAGAGAGAGAGAGAGAGAGAGAGAGATCAGACTGGAACTAAATAACCACTGCAGGAGTTCTGAGATGTGCTAATGTAGATTCTGTAAGGGAAATGGGATGAACAGCTGTATGCAGGCTGCAGGCAGTAGGGGGCAGTGAGCACAAAGCTTCGCCTCAACAATCAGAGACGCCCTGTCGAACTGGGAAACTACTTATTAACATATTAGTCGCAACAACCCAAGCGTGACGTGTGAAAAGTAAAGCATGCCTGCGTTTCGGGGTTCTGACAGTATACTGGGAGAGAAAGAGCTTGATGGAAAGACAAAGACAGTCACAAGAGAGTGAAAAAGATATGTAGAGAGGCAAAAGATAAGCCAGAGGTGTTGTGGGTCCTCAGGATGTGCAGTGAGCGTGCAGGGTTTGACTGTACTGTGTGTGTGTGTGTGTGTACCTGCTGAGGGACCTGTTGCACTCTAGGCACTGGCAACTGCTGCACCTGAGCTCCCTTCTGGGAAGAGCCGGTGGCCTGAACTAACACACGCTGCAGGTGAGGGACACACACACACACAAATGTAAACATTAGACCCTTTTCTATTTAAAAAGTGAGGTGCGGAATTGTTCAGATGTTCGAATGCAATTATTCAAGTTTAAATTCGTCATGAAACGGATGTTGCGATAGTCTTTTCTTCCCTATTGTGAGGTACTTCTTGAATGAGACAAAAAAAATCTAAGAGGGGACTAGATTTTGTCCACGGGGATTTGATTGGATCATAGGATCCTTGTCATTTGCTATTGCTGTGATCTCATGTGAGTGACAAGGTTGTCATTAAACACATCATCAGAGAAAAGAAAAGATGTCGGTGCAAGAAGGACGGGAAGTTACTTTTATTTTGAACTAAATTAAGCCATTTTCGTGGCAATGCAACTGTGGCATTTCCAAAACTTCTGGCTCAACAAATGGTGTGAGCTTGGGTTGGGAGTGGGACTACCTGTTTGTCTAAATAATGGAAGGTGGGTGGAAGGGCAGTTTGTTAAACCAAAATACATACATTTAAAAAAAATTAAAAAACACTGCAAAAGACCTCAGGATCCTGAGAAAGATCTGTGGAAAGTTTCGTTTATACAAGTGTTGTCTTTGATCCAGACTGCTAGCACCACAAATGTTACGTACAGAAAGTCTATATTTCATTCATTGCTGTTTTTCGTCAAATCCTCTACAGCTGTCCAGGGAAATGTGATGCTCTGTCCAAAATATTAACCGAAATCACATAAAAAACTGGTTTCTTTGGATGTGAGGTTGATCCAAAGCCAACATCTCCCACAGCAGCACCACGCAAAGTCGCTGCTAATCATTTAAAGTGGCTCTGACAGATGAAGGGTGTGGGTGAGGAGAAATCTTTCATCGCTTCAGATGGATCCAGTGCATATTGAAAAGCATCTTTAGAGAGATTCAGAACGATGACAGAAGAGCAAAAGCAGCTCAGATCTTCATATTAAACTGCTTGTGTGGGAGGAGCTTCCTTAATTATTATTATTATGCTACTTTTGTGCATCAGTGCTGAGCCTGCTTACCTGTTGCGAGGCGGGAACGGGCTGAACCACCGGCGCCTGGGCTGAAGTGGACGTTCTCAGCGCCACAGTGGACGCCGACTCTGAGCTGCCCTCTGACCGCTGCATGGTTTCTCCTAGTAGATAGTAAGCATGTAGTATTAGTATATGTTAATATTAATAATTAATATTGTAAGAATTCACTCATGATAATGTTTAAACATGCCAACAATTAATAATTTAAAGTTTTTATTTGAAAAAGTAGATTAGCATTAGTAGGTTATATTAGCACTTGTATCAATAATTCACTCATGATAATGTTTAAACATGCCAACAATTAATAATTTAAAGTTTTTATTTGAAAAATTAGATTAGCATTAGTAGGTATACCACACAGTCAATTTTATTTGAACAAAATCAGTACAAGCTTAGAATATAATTGCACAAAAAACCAATGCAGATGACTGAGAAAAGAGTAAAAGGTGACAATATATCACTGTTTATGCTTACACACTAAGCATAATGTCAGGATCATATCATGACTAAAATGTCATCGGGTCCAGTTGAATTTGCCACATCTAAAGAAACAATGCAATCAAACTAAGCCCCAACAGGTTGCGAGAGTGGATAAGAGCGGCCGACTGAAAAACAACTGCGCATGTGCCAGGAAAAGTGGGATACAAAGCGGCTTTCACACCGTCTTCTCCGAAAGGACCAGCTCAACCTAGCCAAGTCAGGCTGAGTCACCCGCATCCCCAGCAGGCCGCTCACCTCTGAACTCTATTATGGAGGAAAGAACAAAAGAGACATTAACAATCCCATCACAACCGCAGTGCGGTTCAGTAGAAGGGGAATTGAGTTAGAAGAACTGAGTTTGACTGTGTCGTCGAGATCCCGATGCAACTCTCCAAACTCTTATGGGCGCACACAACAACGGGAAAGAGAAGAAGAGAGTGACAAATGGCGACCAGACAGCCTCCCACGGAAAAAAGATAGAATAGGAGGTGAGAGCAGGGGGGACTTTGGAAAAAGTGGAGGGGCAGAAAAAACAACATCCCTCCCCCCAAACCCCCCAACCATGAAAAGAAAAAGGAGGTAAAAAACTAAAATGGCAATGAGGCTGGTCCCCCCCCCCACCAGGACACTGATGATCTCCAGTGGTTGTTTGGAATGAGAGTCCGTCTCTAGGGGCTCCAATAATACAGCTGATATGAGGAAATTCCTCAATGCTTTGTAAACGTTTGTCGGTTGCTATGGTGAGGGATCCATGGCAACCATCCCTAACTCTACCACCCCCCTTCCCCTTGTGCTATTCTTTTTTAAGCTCACACACACAGGAACTTTGGACTGCTGGAGAGACTGACAGACTCAAAGACGGGGAACAGGTTACAGGGGGGCAGCCGATCTCTGTACATCTAAATAAGCTCTTAACCAGTCCGACGGAGCATTTATCATCCCCACCAGTGTGCTCAACAGGTCCCAGAACTGCGTTTACGACGCGTGCCTGCATTGATCCTGACCGACACGTAGTAGCGGAGGTTGATGTGAGAGCTTCAAGAGACCCCTATGACTGACAGTTTGTTGTTAAAGTTTAAAATGGAGCAAAAGGCAAGCAGTAAGCTTGATTTCTGCAGGAAAAAATGGATGCTAATTACAGGCACTTAAAGTTTTCCTCTGGGAGTAGAGAATAAAGAATAAAAGCTAATTGTGTTTCCTGACATTAGTAAAATAGAAGTAATGAATTCTCAAGTGTGAAGCTCTATTCAAAGGTAAATTAATTGGAGAACTTTCCTCGTTTTCAGAAAATAAATGAATTGTAATGAAGACAACGGATGAATCAGTTCAGTAAAAAATAAAAATAAAAAAAGTACTCTGTGTGTATATACTGCAGAAAGAACACTACAAATGTGTTTTTAAAAACCAAAACAGCAATCCTGTGGAAATCCATTAAAATCCTAAGTTTTAAAGCAACATTACACAGCGTGTTCCAATACCAATAACTTTATGTTTTTTTTTTTATAGACATTTTTCAGAAATTTGTTATCAACAAATGTTTTTGAGCAGCGTATTACAAGAAAAAAAAAATGTAATTCTACAATTTTATTAATTTCCATTAGTGATGCAAAATATTCAGACCGGAAATTAATTTCCGGTTTCGGCTTAAAGAGTTTTGAAAGGCCGAAATCATTTGACTGAGGCCCCATCCACACTACTGCGTTTTAGTTTAGAAACGGATAATTAAAACGAATACGATCTCCGTCCACACCAGCGTTTTAGCTGCGTATTAGAATTGATCTCCGTCCACACCAGCGTTTTAGCTGCGTATTAGAATTGATCTCCGTCCACATTAAAACGACTGAAAACGCGGATCACGTGACCATTCACCAACACTGGGCATGCGCGTGCCGGTGTAAACACAACTTCATTGATAAAATTATCCCACCATGCTCTGGGTTACCCCCAAACCGACGCTCCATGTACGGTCAACGCCGCCGCTGCACATGGGAATTGTCACAGATCGCTCGAATAATAGCTTGACTCCGGCGCATGTAGGCAGTTATAGCGTTGTAAAATGCAGAATTTACTACAGAATTTTCTACAACAGCTGCTAGCAAAGATATACGCCATGACTGATGACACCCAATCATAGAGCCGAGCGTGAGCCTCTACTACGTCATCGTTTCTAAAGTCCTCCGTTTTGACCCGTCTACACTAAAACGCCCTCCGGAGATTCAAAACGAAAACCGGATCGGCAGCGTTTCTAAACTTCTCCGTTTTTGCCGTTTTAGTGTGGACGGGAGGTGCAAACGTAGCAAAAGGTCTCCGTTTTTAAACGAAAACGCAGTAGTGTGGACGGGGCCTGAAAAGGTGACGTTTAATTAGCGCTTATTAGCTTTGTTACTTTTGATATGGAAAAGTCTCAGCTTTCAAATTCTGCCAATTTTATAATGAAGTTCTAAAAAGTGTTTCTTGATGCTCTTTAATGTGGCGTGACAGATCGCTGTAGCCTCCTCAGTTAAAGCAGTAGCGCATCCTCTTTACTAGCGGTGGGAATCTCTAGGCACCTCACGAATCACGAATCGATTACGATTCAGAGGGCTGCGATGCGATGCTAAAACGATTATCGATGCATCTTTTTTGTGTGTGACTACTTGGTACTTTTAAAGCAAAGTATTTATAATGACCCATACATTTTGCTGTAGCTTTTATACAAAAATATAGAATTATGTACCAGGCCAGCAGCTAAAATAATGCTTGTGGACTTATGCATATTCTGAATAATTAGTAACATACAAAGCTGCTCTTATACACAAATAAATAATAAAGAGTCTGAGACTTATGACTTGAAATTGTTGCTGTATACCACAATCAAAAACAGCTTATACAAAAAAAGTAAATGAACATCTGCAGAGAGCACAGTCAAAATGTAACTTTTTGTGACTGGCATTGCACTGATGTACTGTGACTGTGGAGGGCAGTACAGTAAACCTATGTATAACAGATCTGTTTACAGCATATTGATGTGAAAACAAAACAATACAGAAAGCAGTTCTCATACAAAAATTTTAAAAAAGGCCACAATGAAATTATGCCAATTTTCCATATGTTAGCTTTTAACGAAGAGGGTCTGAGGGTTATGCGTCTCTGTTAAGTGCACGCACAGACTGTCCGGGCACTGCACTTCCACGCTTCAGAGTTACGCCGTTTGCGTTCCGTCAATATTAGGTTATTAGAAAAAAATAAAGTTTTTTGACATTTGTGAATCGATTCAGAATCGTCCGCATCGCGATGAATCTAAGAATCAAATTTTTCCCCGACCCCTACTCTTTACTACAAGTTATAGCATGAAATGTTGAAAGTAATAGTACTTGCTGAAATGTATCATGTCTCATGTTATCGATCAATCACTGTTTTTCAACTAAGGAAAGATGTCAATAAAACAGCTTGTAAACATATCACGTAACGCTGCATTTACCTCAGCTAAGCTATTCAATTAACTTATTAATCAGCAAGAAAAAATAACTCTAGAAAGGAGCATTTTGATAAATATATGCACCACATTACATTTGAATTTTTATACTTAATTTGTTGTCTTTATTATTTAATGTACACTACCGTTCAAAAGTTTGGGGTCAGTGAGAATTTTATTTTTATTTTTTGGAGGAAAGAAATCCATACTTTTATTTATCAAGGAATAATTAATTTGATCGAAAGTGACAGTAAAGACATTTATAATGTTACAAAAGTCTTTTGAACTTCCTATTCATCAAAGAATCCTAAAAAAAAAAAAAAAAAAAAATGTACAACTGACAGACCAACAACTGTTTCAACATTGATAATAATAATAAATGTTTCTTGAGCATCAAATCCTCATATTATACTGATTTGTGAAGGATCATTTGACACTGAAGACACTGACACTGGTGATGCTGAAAATTCAGCTTTGATCACAGGAATAAATTACACTTTACTATATATTCACACAGAAAACAGCTGATTTACACTGGAATAATATTTAATACTATAACTGATTTTTGTTGTATTTTTAATCAAATAAGCGCAGCCATGGTTAGCAGAAGAGAATTCTTTTAAAAGTATTTAAAATCGCACCGACCCCAAACTTTTGAACGGTAGTGTATGTTTGAATAAATCCATCATGTTAAAGGTGCAAAATGCAAGTCTCTGAGTTTTTGCAGAACTATGCCCCCTCTGGCGACAAGCGAAACTGCAACCAGAGTTGTGCACGCTCATGGAACACACGCATCTTTTATTGGATATGTTTTTATGTTTCATGTTGTACTATTCTTCCGAACACAATTCCTAGTTTATGAAACTGTCAATGGTAGTAAAACCAATTCTGATTGTACATGTATCTAGCTTACGCTAAAGCATTACACATTTTACGCATCGTCATTTGTTGGCATACATAGATTGGCCGTATCAAACATTAGAGACTGGGCTATATCTTACCGTTTTATCAAGAAAAAAGCCAACTGAGGATCCCGTTTGAGACCAAGAGCAGACCGGAGATCTTTCCATTTGTTGAATGCCTTCCCGAGGTTGACTCTCGTCTTACTCCGACGCCTGTCTGACTCCAATTTGGACCTTTTGGTGGCACTAGACAAAAAATTTCTTT